AAAATTCAAAATATTGGAAGAGAACTTCCTCATTGCGTAATTCTAGGTTATCTTCTCATAATTTATTTTCCTTTCGATATTTTAAAAATTCTATTCAGTATTTCAAACATCATCTAGGTTTGTCTGAACTCACTTTTTCTATACTATAAATTTTAAATTACTTTTGGAAGTTAAGGTTGTTGTTAATTTACGTCGAACTAGAGCTGTACAATGGGCTATTGGTGACGGTCTGGGAAACATCCCGGAGGATGATCCGAAGACATGCCATCACAATTTTGATCCTCTGCGGAGGGGATGGCACCCCCGCTTCGGTAGCCCGACGACCTGCACGCGAAGTCGAGCACTTTACGGTAGAACAGTTTAACAAGGACCAATACCGCACACCCTACGCAGGCTGATCCAAGTGGTCACCCACCCGCACACTGACCGTAGCCAGTGATGCCTGACTTTGGGAAACAAATTAGAATGAAGCGAGTTAAGGAAGTGACATAGTTTTAAATTTAGGATTCTACCTTCTTGGTTGAAGGTTCTAAAATTTATCCAAAGTATTCGACCTATCACTTACTGACAGCTAAATCAGAATTGAGTGTCTCTACTCTAGAGAATCATGGTCATGTATGACACCATTCATAAGTAAAGTAGTCTCCGCTGCGAGTTGTGGTGGCTTAGGGGATAGAGCATTCGTCTTGCAATGGGAAGAACCGGGTTCGAAACCAAGCGATGGCTGGTCGATACGAATTCCGCATCCGGCTCGCACCGACCACTATGCTGATGTAAAATATTCTCAGTGCAAGAAGGATCATGGGTTTGAGTCCCCTAGCTATCAAGCTACCCGTGGGAGGTTTTTCTCTGCATGTAACGCAGATACGGGTTAGTTCCATCAAAAAGTCCTCCTTGAAGGCAAATTTCTCCCAATACCTGATCTAGGAGTTCCCTTGTCTTCTGGATTGAGTTCAAAATTACAAGGCTACGAAGTGGAACAAAAAAAAAAAAAAAAACTAAGTCGTAAACCCAAAAAATTGGGTCGGCTGTTCAATGACAGTTATGAAATAAAATATTTCGCTGCTTAGTAATGAAAGAATGTGACAACTTGGAAATTTTCTGAGCTAGGGAAAGCGAAATGTGTTTTTTTTTTGAGGCTGGTAGCATAGAAATTATTGCAGGCTTTGAGTATTTATCTAGATGTCAAAGATTTTATATTTTAATTTGTGGAACTTGAACTTGTGAAAAATGGCTGGTTAAAAAACAATGTCACGCTGATTGGATTCTTTAAAGCGCTTTTTCCAGAATAAGCTGCCATTTTTAAAGCTTTGCAATTTTTATCTTTAAATTTAATATATTTTTATTTCCTGATTATATATTGTTAGAAAAATCTTTATGTTTTTTTCGTAAACTTTTTGCGTTTCATTATTTTTAAAGCCAGAGTTTCTATTCATATGACCAATGTGATGATTTTATTATAGAATTTGATTCAGATGAATTAAGACTCGATACTAGGAGAGAAAAAGATTGCGTAGAAAAAAATATCCACAGTTCTCTCTTCTGAATCTAAAGTTCCTTTATTTTCGGAATTTGATTTTTCTCAGAAGAATCAGTGTCCTTATCTGCTCAATTAAAATTTCTTATGTAAATAGGAAAAGAAACTTTTTTATTTAAATTTTGTGGTAAATACATACACCTATAATTATAATTACAAAGAATCTGTTCAGAATATAGAGTCAAACGCTTTGAGAACGCAATAGATTAAGTAGGGAGTTCTGTAATCACCACGTTTAATACTTACAATTTTTAAAACCAGTGTCAATAANCACACTTGTGAGAATAAAAACATAACATCGAAATCGATTGAATGCTGCTTTGTCGAAAACCATCCCCTAATTCAATTTATTAATTAAGGAAAAGCAGCAGCAACCTTCACATTAAAAATTTTAATTTTAAAAATTTTGTATACTATTAAAATAATAAAATTAAATGTTTTCTAATAATTGATGTTTTTAGCAATTATTTTTTTCACAGGGGGGTGATCCGCGACTTCTTAAAAATTTTTAAAAGGGGTCCATTACATCAAAAAGGTTAAGAAACACTGATTTGGAAGCTACGGGTTAGTTTCAAAGGAGGACGGGTACATTGTTAAACAAGCCGTCCTCGGGGACGGGTAAAATTTCTGGTTTTTTTTCGAGCCCTGAATTAAAGTATAGAAAAAATTACTTCAGGCAAACCTAGAGTAATCGATAATGCTTCAAATGCTTAAAAAAAAAAAAAATTGAAAATATCAAAAAGCAAACAAAATATTGGAAGTGAACTTCCTCATTGCGTAATTCTTGCTTATCTTCTCATAATTTATTTTCCTTCCGATATTTTAAAAATTCTATTTAGTATTTCAAACATCATGGTTTATTCTAGGTTTGTCTGAACGACAAATTTTAAATTACTTTTGGAAGTTCAAGAGAATTTGCGATGAAAAGTTTCTTCCGCGGTATAGCATCCATTTTTGTACTTTAGTTTAAAAGCGAAGAGAAAGTAGAGTTATTTCACGCTATGTAAAGAAGGACCATCTTTTGCAATTGTAACTTCTGCAAATTTAAAGTTAGAGTAATGTTAAAAAAAAAATAATTCAGGAAATGAAATTATACTTTACTGTAAACGAACTTTACACTGTAAACATATAAAAGAACATTGGTTAAATAGGGAGCACTGAAAAAATTTAATTACAACCATAAGTTAACTATATCCCAAATTCGTTATTCCGGGTTACGACTATAAAGAAAAAAAATATTTTCAACTGATTGTTAGAACACAAGCATCGCGTTTAAAGCATGTTAGTTGGTTATTTTAGTGTTGTCCAACTGTTTAACAGGCTTTATTTAATCATGATTTGAAACAAATGAAGCGAGTTAAAGAAATGACATAGTTTTAAATTTAGGATTCTAACTTCTTGGTTGAAGGTTCTAAAAGTTTTCCAAAGTATTGGACCTATCACTTTCTGAGAGCTAATTGCACCGACCACTTTGCTGATGTAAAATATTCTCAGTGCAAGACGGATCATGGGTTAGAGTCCTCTTGGCAAACCGTGAGAGGTTTTCCTCTTCATGTAACGCAAATGCTGGTTAGTTCCATCAAAAAGTCCTCCTTGAAGGCAAATTTCTTCCATCTAGGAGTTCCCTTTTCATCTGGATTGAGTTCAAAATTACAAGGCTACAAAGTTGAACCCAAAAACCGAAGTCTTAAACCTAAAAAATTGGGTCGGCTGTTCAACGACGGTTATAAAATAAAATACTTCGCTGCTTTGTAGTGAAAGAATGTGATAACTTGGAAATTTTCTGAGCTAGGGAAAGCGATTTTTTTTTTTTGAGGCTGGTAGTATAGAAATTATTGCACGCTTTGAGTATTTATCTAGATGTCAAAGATTTGATATTGTAATTTGTGTGAAAATTGGTTGGCTAAAAAATGACAATGTCACGCTGATTAGATTCTTTAAAGCGCTTTACCCAGTATAAGCTGCCATTTTTAAAACTTTGCAATTTTCATCTTTAAATTTAATGCATTTTTATTTCCTGATTATATATTGTTAGAAAAATCTTTATGTTTTTTTCGTAAACTTTTTGCGTTTCATTATTTTTAAAGCCAGAGTTTCTATTCATATGACCAATGTGATGATTTTATTATAGAATTTGATTCAGATGAATTAAGACTCGATACTAGGAGAGAAAAAGATTGCGTAGAAAAAAATATCCACAGTTCTCTCTTCTGAATCTAAAGTTCCTTTATTTTCGGAATTTGATTTTTCTCAGAAGAATCAGTGTCCTTATCTGCTCAATTAAAATTTCTTATGTAAATAGGAAAAGAAACTTTTTTATTTAAATTTTGTGGTAAATACATACACCTATAATTATAATTACAAAGAATCTGTTCAGAATATAGAGTCAAACGCTTTGAGAACGCAATAGATTAAGTAGGGAGTTCTGTAATCACCACGTTTAATACTTACAATTTTTAAAACCAGTGTCAATAACTAAATTAAAAAATGTACAACTGGGATTTCAATATAAATATTTAAACAAGGTAAATATAAGAATTCTATCAAAATCTTATGAAACAATTCCCACCAGCGCCAATATAAAATCATATAGACATTTGTTGCCAGGTCATTACTAAATGCCATTAAAACCATATGTATTGAAAACAAATTTGCTGCTTGAAATATTTATATATTCTATCATTAACATTACCGTATTTTCTTAGAAAAATATCAAGACTAAAAAAACAACAGTTTCTTATTTAATTTAAGGACAATAAAAATATTTTTGAACTATAAGATATTAACTTCAATACTTTAATTTTAACTGCATGCCAAAATACGAAATCGGAAATTTATCAGTCGAGTAACAACTAGTTTTTTTTGCATAAAATATTAAAACGATTAGTATCAAACTACATATGAGAAGTATTAATAAGTTAATACAAACAAGTATTTTAGCGAAATTATTTATGAATAATTTAATTTTCTATAAAGACTCAAGCAAATATGCAAAAGTTGAATAAATGGTAGGAAGGTATAAGATACTTATGATCAATTCCCCGATAATAAGTTGGGCACATAATATCTTGTTAATTAGAACGTCAGAAAGAAATATATAAAGACGGACACCAGTGTTACATCTACACCGAAGGGTAAATTGCAGGAAATTTATTTTATGCCCTTCAAATATTGTGTGCAGGTGATTCTGGCAAATCTAACCTCATTATTTTAAATGTATTCTTTCAAATGTAAATTAATAATTTCAAATTTAGGAAGGACATATGAAAATAAAAGGTAATTAAGTTCATTACAGAAGCATTCTGCTGCCTGAGTAGTATTCTACATACCACTTAAACAGTTCTTTTGGTGAAGTTCGAAACATATAAAAAAAGAAAGAAAACTTATAAATTCAATAAATTTTAAAACAGAATTTACTCATTTAAAATCAAATTCTTTTAATAATAAAAAACTCAAACAAACAAACTTGATATGATTTTTTACTGTACAAAAGAAATTTACAATTCCTTTTTACATAATGATTTCATAGATTTGACATAGGTAATTATAGGACACTTAAGCTCACTCATATTTCATAATTCTTACAGTATCAATTTTACATCTTATCGCATTTGCTAGACGAACACAAGAAAATATTGATTACAAATGGTCCCGAAAATTGAACTTACAACATTAGTGTCTTAATTAATTTATATACAATATATTACTTTAAATCAGGAACTATGTATAAATAATAATTGAAAGATTAACATAATGAAGATAACTCATTTCCAAACTTTAACAACACCATCTTTTGAGGCTGATATGACAAGGTGCTGGGAGGTTTGAATGGTGGAAATAGCACTAATGATGTCATAGTGTCCGGGTTGAGGAGTTTCTGGGTAACGACGGACAACCACATCTTCTGAAGATGTTTTTCCACTCGAAGATGAGTTCTTATCTTTTTCATTTTCTAATGGATGATGTTCACATAATACTTCCGTTCCATCAATCACTCTAAGACTGAAAAATAATTGACAAATAATGCATGGATAAAGTACAGGATGTTTGCAATAAATACAGAAATATTTGCAAATAATACAGGATGTTATAGTATTAATTACAAGATATATTATAATATTTAAGGATGTTTGCAATTACCTACAATTAAATTGTATTTATAGAAATGAATTAAAAAAATATACACATTAGTGCTCACACAATAATATTTAAAAGAGTAAACAATAAAATTTTTTAGAATATTACCAATTACTATTATAAAAAGCATGTATAAAAATATCATAACATATTTTATTGCCAAAAGAAAAAAGAAAGTTTAACATGGAAGAAGCTCCTATTTCTACCAGGCAATCAAATGTTTTAATGTTTATCATCTAGTCTTCCTTCCTCGTAATTCAGATTTTGATAATATTATTCATTTTTTCCTTGCTCAAAAAGTAATTTAAGATTCCTAATGCATAAACCTTTTTAGTTTCTGTTTTAACTGGATTCTAAAGAAGCACATATAAAGGTGTTTGATGAAGGAACACCCTGCTTAAATTATATCAGGGTTATTTATGGTTTAGTAGTTTTAATACCTTTTAACATTGAGCTTGTTTTAAATAACTTATACATCAAAAACTTTTATTTAATCTTTAAGAACACATTTGTGGTTATTAATAATATAAGAAAATTAGAGGCACATTTTATACACCAACCACCTTCAAAGTAAATACAGTGACCTATTGTTAATACAAGAAAAAATTCAAGTAAAATTAACAAAATATTCTAAATTAACCAGTGTAATTAAATTGAATGCAGATAACATTAATGTAATTAAATTAAATGCCAATAAAAATGTAGTGAAGTAATATCTAATTAAAAGGTAAAGAATTAAAATAAAAACAAATGGAAAATTCACCAACATTTGCATTTTTGAGCAATAATAAAATTTTAACTTTATAACTGTCTTTATGGTTTGCTTATTAAAATTTTTAACCGTGAGATCTTCTATGCTAATTTTTTGAAAACTTTAAGCAGTAGTAAACTTTTTGCTGCAAAGAACAAGGTTTCTTTTATTTTATTGTATGCAAAAATAGCACATAGAAAGAAAAATTCTGCACTAATTTGCCCAACGTAGAATTATCATGATAAAGTTAGCTTTTATAAGTGTGTTTATTTTTATATGAATAAAAATACCATAGGGTAGAAAGAACCAACAAATTTTAATTCTTTTAAATTAAAACCAATTTTATAACTGAGAGTTATAAGTCATATGTCAGAAACAGGATTATACTTCAATTAATGGCTATTTTTTTTATAATTGGCATCTCTGTACATACCATCCAAGTTCTTTTAGGTTAATAAAAATTTAAGATAACTACGAACATCAATGATATAACAATACTTTGAAGGCTTTATAGCTGAAACCGTTTAATATTTTTAATTAAACATTCTAGAATACTTATACTTTTATTAAAATTTCTGGAACATTTCATATTAAAATTTTTTCTTATAGTTTATTACATTTAAATGTATCAATTTTATCTATATATTATTTTGAAATCTTCATTAAAGTTTTTAAAATATTTTTCTGAAAAAATTTTTAGTAAAATTTTTAGAATACGCACACTATTAACATTATTCTGCAGAAATGAATGACACCAAATACAAAGTCTGAATTGGATGATGATAACATAAAAAACGAAAATCAAATGAAGCATTTACATATTATGTCTGGATGACTATGCGTGTATACTGTATAAAAGCTTGAGTGTTAAATAAACAAAGTATAGCAAATGTATATAAATAAAAGGGATAATTTTAAATAATAAAAAAAAATGTATAGATATTTTTTCATCATAATTGAATTTTAAGTTATTTCATTCCTGTAAAAAATTCAGGGCAAAATCTATAAAACAAAACTAAAATAAATTTAACATCATTAGTATTTTAATACAATATAATTCATCAAAATATTTTAAAGTAAACTACTTCTATATAGAATTTGGATAAGTAATGGATAATCTAAGGAAAATAATAAATACTTTAATAAATTCTAATAGAATTAGAAGCAATTTAAGTAACATTTATAATTAAATTAATTTTGGTGTAGAAATACACAAAAAGGTTTATAAGTGAATTAATTTGGGTTTAAAAATATACAAAATTTATTAAAAACTTTTTTTTTTAGGAATATAAGTGATAGCATGGAAAAAATAAATTAATTTCAAATTAGAAATATAAGTAATAAATTACAGAGTTAATTATTTTGAATAAATTAATTTAGACAAATTTAAACTATCTTGTTATTATTATTATTTAAAAATTTTAAACGATTCTGATCAAAATTAATGAACTTTAAAAAAAATGTTTAAAATATTTACAGCTAGACATTTGATTCCGTTTCAGTATTTTAAAATGTATAAATTTCACTGGCAGGAAACTCAATTCTGTAAAAATGATTTTGTTATAAAAATGAAAGTAAGTGATTTGAACCTGTAAAATAAATTTTAGTTTTATTATGCTGAGTAGAAGAATATTTCATCACATAAATTAGTTAAAAAGTTTTTTTTTTCATCTGAAATCAATTAAAATGACAATTTAAAAGTGAAGCAAAATTTTGTAAAATATTAGTAAGTGGAAAAAATATTTTATAAACAGTCGTTGAACGGCTGACTCCTTTTTTCGGGGGGGGGGGGAGTANATTAGTCTTCCTTGAGTGGCTAATACTACTAATGTTCAACTTTGTAGCCTTGTAATTTTGAACTCTATCAGGAAGACAAGAGAAATTCTGGATCAAGTATTGGGCGAAATTTTGCCTTTGTCAGGGGTGATTGTGAGCCCAAGTCAAAATTCCAGAAAATTTCTTGAGTTAAAAAAAAAAAAGTTCACATCTAAAAATTAGAAAAAAATATAAACAAGGTTTTTTCCTTTTTCTCAATATTTCTTAGTCAACTTAAGATATATTTAAAACTTTACACATACCTATAATGACCTGGAGAAGTAATTAAAATTTAAAAATATGTCTTTCTTTCTCGAGTTTATGATTATAATTACTATTTACTGATAAAAAATGAATAATAATCTTGAATATAAGCTTATAAAGTAGCTTTCCTAACAAACAAATGATATAAACTGTGTTTTTTAAGTTCCACCTTTGAATTCCGAAAATCTTTGTGATCAATGATTTTTTTAAACATATGAACCTTCGATCTCGGGAAACTTCCGGATCACGGTTGGCAAAAAATCAGGATTTTTTCCGGAACACAATCAGCCCTGCTTTGTGGAGGATCTTTTGATGGAACTAACCTATTTTTGCATTACATAGAGAGGAAAACCTCTTATGGTAAGACTAACGACAAGAATATTCTAACCCATGTTCAGTCTACCACTGAGAATACTTTACATCATGAAAGCATTTAGTAAAAATAAAATGTAACTTATTTGAGTTACATTTTATTTGAGTTATTGTTTTCATCAATAGATTTTGAGTTACATACTATATGAGTTACTGTTTTCATCAATAGATTTTCACGCGAAAATACTAATTTGAAATAAAGTAATTAGCAAGCAATGCTATTTCACTCTGTAAAGTAAACAAAGAGAAATTAAATGTGATTACGTGTAGTTGAAGCTGGAGAGTGGCACAAAGCGATCATTAACAGCTCCCACAATCACACGAGAGGCAGTGGGATTTTTCAAATCCCAATAACGTATTCTTCTATCAGAGCCAGCTGTTAGAAGAGCTGAATTTTGTTCATGAGATGACCAGCACATGGAATAAATGGAATCGTCGGATGCCTGTACAAAGAAATACAAGTCATAAAAATATATATTTTATACAGAAAATATATGTCATGCACATAGAGTTTGATTTTATTTAAACATGTATTTATTCAATGCATTGACAGTAAATACATGCCACAGACATATACTTTGATTTTACATAAACACATATTTATTTGAGGCATTTAGTTTTAAAATTAGTTCTTCAAAACTTTACAGGGGTGGCAAACTACATTTTTCATTATGAAACAGAAAGTCCCTTTTTTAATTTTTCAAAAGACATTGATATTTTAACATAGTCTTTAATATAAACATTTTACTCTTTAAGTATTGAAATAGAAAAGCAATTGGTGGTTAGGAATTTTTTTTTCGTTTTTTTCAATAGAGGACTTAATTATATTTTTTTCACAATTTCACACTTAAGCCTCATAATCATTATATATTTAGGCAGCTTAGAAGGGCTTACTTGCAAAAACAGTTTGATTAATTCTATGAGGTAGTTTTTGGTTGGTGCCCTTTCAAATAATCAAAGGGACAAGCAGAATTTTTGGCATATTATATATTTTTTACTATCATAAAGGTAAGCAAGAAAAAAAATCTGGTGTTTATGGAAAAATAGACAGTACAGTGCAGTACAATTTGCAAAATTATAATTCGATGACATTTTGATTCAGATGTACAAAAATACAGCTCACTAATTTAAGCTGATGACGACACAATAAAGGCATTAATTGATGCTAACTGGCGAATATCAGTTCACAAGATCACAGAGAGATTAAATTTATCAAATTAGATGATTCATGATTATTTGAAAAGCTTAAGGTTTAATTTTAAAGCATGGTATATGTGTTTTTCATGTTCACATGGAAAGAAATTTATGCTGTTGTGCTGAGCTCTGTGATTTGCTTCTCAAACATCGAGAAAATTATTAAGTTTCGAATTGCGTCATCACTGGGAGCAAAAAAGCGGCTATCTACAACAATATTAAACTGTACTGATTTTAAGTTGGACGAGGTTATTTCGAAAATTTTTAGTGTACTAGCGACTTTCTAAAAGTTTATGGATTTATGGAATTGGTCTTATTGGATAAAACTTGGAGGTTAGAAAAAACAACAAAAGCAAAAGTAGTTTAATACAAACTTATGGATATTTGATCAATATATTTAGTAATATTTCCCTTTATATTATTCTTAGTAATATATCTAAGTTCTTCATTATGAAAGTTCAGTGACCTTCAACAGGTTCAATAGTGGGCCAAAGAAAAATTCAGGACATTATATTTTTAAAAAAAATCGGGACATTTTTCAGAACTATCTACTGTATACATATACACATACATGTTTAAAAAGGTAAATTGCTAATTAAAAAGTATAATTTACTCATCTTTAGAGTAATAAAAGCAATTTCTACTGCAAAAGAATAATAAAATAGACTATTTACTAGTTAAAATTTCATAATTACTTTGTTTAGAACGGAAAGTTTTAAATTACAGTTAACAGTTTCCAGAAATTTTTTTATCAATTCTGAACAAATCATGATAGTTTCAAATCAATACATGAAAACAATTTATTGAACTGTTGTGTTAAAAAATTACCAGCATCAATTACGTAATATTCCTTTTCATCAATATATAAATAAAATATATAATATAATTCAAAATATCCTTAATCAAATAATTTTAAAGTCAATTATTTAATTAAGGATCTTATTTTCAATAATCTCGAAATGAAAACACAGTGAATATGCTGCTTAGAAGTTTTGTACTAATTTAGTAGGAGATCCCTGAATTAATAATTTAAAAATGCTATAAAATGTTTACTGTATTGTATAAATGTTTACTGTATAGAATTTATTATTTCAAATATCGCACAAAACAGATGTATCAAAAACTCGAAACTGCAAAACTCTATCTTACAAGATTTTTTACTGCAGTTGCTGAAAATAATAAGTTAGCATATCACCCTTGAAATCATGATCATAAAAATTTGACAACATAAAATTGTTAATTCTGTTTTCATTTAATAGAATTTAATTCTTAAAGAGGTTGAAACAATGAATTCGACATGCAATGCTAAATACCTGAACCAATTTTAAAATCAATAGACAGTCCCTAAATCAGAACTATCGAATTTTGCGATTTCCACAAGCATTACTAAATAAAATAAAAAGATATTGGATCAAAAACCAAAATCAGTTGGCTCTACAAATCTACTTTTTTAAATCTGTATTTGGCATTCTCAGAAAATGGTATTTTCTGAACACATACAAAATCAGAAATTTCAGGACTAAATGCTAAAACTCTGAATTCTGCTTTAACAACTAATAGCCATTGCGACTCTTTGGACTACATCTGTAACTTATTGTAGTTTTCTGAATAATTAAATGCAGAAAGCAACAATTAACAAATTGTTCAACAAATTAAAGGAATCATATGAAGGACTAACCACCTCAGTTAAAGAAAGTGGAGCGGCTTTATTGATTGTCCACAAAGTCATTAGTCTTCCTTGAGTTTCCATATCCCATAAGCACACCTCATTATTTCCTTGGACTGATGTAAAGATAGAAGACTTCTTTTTGGGGTGGACTAACATATGACGAATACGAGAATCTAAAACAAACAAAACATATTTTGCTTAGTAAAGGCAATGGGAAGGGCAACAAATAATTCAAAAAAGATTTGAATTGTATTATCTTTATTATTTGTGTCTGTGTATGTCTCATAGATTAATTAAGTCCTATTGATTAACACCAATTTATTGATTATTTACTTTTTTTCTAACCTATAAGAAGAACAGGTATTCAGATAGTCCATTAAACAAACTAAGCAATATTTTTTGAGCGTCAAAAGACAATTAGAAAAAACAGCTGTAAAACAAGTAATTTAAAGATCAAAAACAGCAGTGGATAAGAAATTAAGAGTCAGTAATTTAGCAATGTTATTTCATCCAGCTGTACCTATAGGCCATTCAAAGAAATTGTGTTAATTAAGTAAGAGACCTTATGGAGTTTGGAAAAAATTGCTAGAGTGAATTTCAAAATTGCTCTTGTTGGGGATAGTGCTATGGACCAGATAGTGCATATTGGCAGCTTAGCAAAGTTGAAAAGTATCAGTTCTTTCCTCCTTTGCGGGAAGAAAGTTGAAAAACTCAATTCGAGTTAAGTCAGGAAGAAACTGAAATACCTTAAACTCAAAGAGTCCATAACGACATGCAAAAAAAAAATCCTTTAATTCAATGAGAAAAGTTATGTCACACGTATATAAACTTGAGACTAGGGCAACAAGGATTTGTGACATAGATAATATTGTTATTATGTAAATGTATGAAAATAACTTAGTTTTCTTTGTGCAAAAATGTTTTGTAAGCGATAAAATGCATTCATTAGAGATTACATAACTTTTTGAGAATGAGCCAGTTAATTTTATTTTATGTGAGATATAGTGTTAATGTATTTTATCTGGTTTTCTTGGTTATGTGAGTTTTATGGAGTTAGTTTGTTAGGCTGGCTTTGTTTATAATCGATGGTGATTTATTATGCAGCGGTGGTATGTGCGCAGTCTTCCTTACTGTGGTGATATTCTAAATATTTTGTCAGAATTTACGTCCTCAGGACTTAATGTAATACCTGTCACAATAAGGGGTTTGAGACTTGTGTTCTTTTCAGATGTCTCAGATTGCTTTTGGTATTATATCCTTGGGGTTTATTTTCTCATTAACAGTTTCAATAAGTTTGGCATTTCTAATATCTTCTGAAGACTCAATTGTTACTTTGATAATTATGTAATATACGTCATAATCCACAGCTCAATATCATAATTATGTGTAAATTCTTTTCAATCTTCTTGAAAAGTTCTTCAGATGTGGCAAAATATACAAAAAGTATAATTAACAATATGGGATCCAAACTTAGGACTGCTCTCTTGACCAAACTACTGGAATCATGTTTCCCAGATTGCATTTGGGTATCAGATTAGGTTGGGGATGGCAAATCATAATCCGTCATAAATAAGGTATGTTCAGTTAAAGAAAGTACACTTCTGTGTCTCATATTGCAATTTAAAATATCATCTGCGTTAACTAATTGGCATGCTTGAAGTCACCTCCTCGAAAGTTTAAGATGAAGTCCTAGTAAGTAAAAATCAAATTGTTAGATAAAAAGTTATACAAGGGTAATTTGTTTTTCCTTTTGTGCACCATATTCTTACATATATTCAAACACTCTTCAGGCATTTTCAAATATTTTGCAGTAATAGTTAATAAACTGCACAAAAAGTGAATGAAAAAAGGCTCAGTAAATATAAATTGGAAATATCAAAACAGATTTTGCTTTTTAACTTTAAAAATTGGAGGGAAAAACAGCAAACAAAGTATGTACAGAACATAAGGTAAAAAAATTGCAGTATTGCAAGATTATTTTATGATGGACATCTTTAAAAAAAATATTTTAAAGGAAAAAAAATAACATGATCAAGTTGAGATTAGCTAAGTACAAAAAATATATATATATAAAGGTACAAAACCTTATTTATTTTAAAAATAAATCAACACTTTTATAATAATTTAAGTTTTTAGGAAAAATATATTTTGAGAGATTTTAAGCTCACTGCATGTGCTGAAATTACAATAAAATCAGAATAGCTTACTTGTTGGATGCGTCACAGTAGTGATTGGAAGTTGAAAACGAAGATCCCAACAAATCATGTGACCTCGAGATGTACCAACAACAAGCCAACAGTGATGAGGATCAGTGCAAAATGATGTAATGACACCTATAAATATTTAAATTGATCTACAATTATTAATTAAATTTTTTATTAATTACAGAACAATAAAAATATTGTAAAAATTTCAATACATGCAAATAGAAAATAATGAGAGATGATTAAAAAGATAAAAAATTATAATTGACAAATTTGTCAATGAAAAACTGAAAGAATAACATAAGTATAACAAAAATAGCTAAAGGGAGTAATTATAATATACCATAAAATGATTGCAAAATTAGAAGAAAAAGAGTTAATTTTACATTGCTTAACACTTTAAAATCTTAGTAATTTTTCATATATAAGTGGTTGTTAAATAGTTGAATTGGAGAAATCGCAAAAAAGTAACACCCAATATTTGACAATTAATAATTATCGAAACAATCCAAGATATATATTTTTAGAATGCATGTCTTTTACTTTACAGACAATAAACAATGACCTTGGCGTGGGCTATTTTCCAATTTCCAGGCTGTTCCAGGAGAACGTAAGTCCCATCCAACAATTGATCCAGTTACTGTTGCATATGCCAAAACAGATTGGCTACCTATAAAAAAGTATTAAGTGAGAGTTTAGGAACAACTAATACAAACTTATTCTTAAATATAAGAACAAGACTTAAATGTAATAAAGATCACAACTATAAAGATATTTCACTCAGCTATACAGTTTAAAATTAATGATATTGTAAAATAAAAAAAAACCACGAATACATCAAAATATGACAATTAGGGATAAGATTCAAATCCTTCAAATAACAAGTACCCAGAATATTTAAATTATGGTAAGTGTACTAATATGTTTGAAAGTGTTGATTCTCTGTATTTCGTACTAAATTTAACAACAATTATGCATAAAATATGGTTTAAAACTGTTCTCAAATAAGTTATAGCATTTTAATTAGAATCATGATTGCTCTCTGCATTCTAGAACTCTATATTGATTCATATAACAGGGCTGAGTTTGGTAAAAAACCAAAAATGCTAAAAATAGAAATCCTAAATTGTTATGTGCAAAACAACTTTTTAAATAATAGGAAAAATACCTGACATTCGTACAAGAGAAAGTGTATGTAGGAAACATTTATCCACAGAATGCTATAAATGTTTTAAAAATATTGATGTGAGATTTTATTTATTACTTAAATTGTATGAATATGAATCTCAATGTGTGATTTTTAAATCACGTGAATACAAATCTCGACATTTAATTTCAAAATTGTGTAAATACGACTATAATGTTTAATTTAAAAATCGCTATAACATGAAAATCCATGTTTGATTTGCAAATCGCGCGAATACCAATCTCGATGTTTGATTTTAACATTGCGTGTATACAAATATCGTTGTTTGGGTTAAAAAATTGAGTGAATACAAATTCCTGTAAATAATTTATAAGTCACTTAAACACTAATTATAATAGTGGCTTTTAAATCTCGTGAATACATATCGCGATATTTGGAAAAAAAAACACACTTGAAAATTCAAAACATGATACGCGATCTTAAATCGCGTAAACAGGAATCACAATGTGAAATATTAAATCATGTGAATGTAATTTTAAATTTCACAATTGCATTATTTCAAAAAGTGCAAAGAAGAATCCTTTTTTTTCTTGGTAATTCGATAACGGACAAACTTTCTTTGAAGAGGCAGATTATTTTTTTTTTTTAGCAATAGTAAAAAAATTTCTGCGATGGTGACAAATTTTCCACGAACAACGTTCAGGTATGGTATACAGTTCTGGTAGACGGCGCACAATGCTCACAGCATAACCGATATCATGTGGTTGATTCATGTTCTGTTAGTGTAAAGGAACTTAATCCTTTAACACTAACAGAACATGAATAAAAATTTAATTACCAATTTGCCATACACAAAGCAAGTAATCTGATTGCTGTACTATTACAGATAACTTTAAATTTTGTGTTTAATAAACAACTGCTAAGTAAATCACAATACAACTACTGATTTTCTACATTAGATATGAAACTGAAAGATGAACTGAAAGAAAAATAAACCAGTCCTAAAATCATTAATTTATAATTGAGAACAAAAGTATTTTTTGCGTTTATTGAAGTGCATGAAAATTTAAATAAAGTTACTTGTTATTTATTGCAAAACATTATTTAATGAAGAGTAATATTGTTATTTAATAATAATCATTTTTAAACAAATTTGACCAAATTTTATTTTAGCCCAAATTTTATTTTAAGGGCTATTTGTTAAAATAGCCCTTTTCATATATATTACGAATGATGGCTCCCTAAATATATATTTTTTAATTAATCTTCAGTTGAGGCTTTTTGATAGCCAATCCTTAATTTTGATTTGTTTAAAGAAAAAAAGATTTAAGGCTTTTTAATTGTGGTTACTCATGTTATCTTGTTGAAAAGTCCAGTACTCTTCATCCCAAGTTTCTGTATAATATTATAAAATGTCGTATAGGAGTTAAATGTATTAAGTGGAATTCATTTGGGTTCATTTTCACCAAATTAAAGACATTCCAAAGCTATAAAAAGCTACCCCTACCATAACTGCCCCACCGCCAAAATTACGACTGAAAAAAAAATCCTTTTATTTCATATTCAAGGTGATGCTGATATGATCTAATTTCATCACTGAAATACGATCATATAGGCATGATCGTATTTAATTACTGATAACTACATTTTGCAAATCAGAGATCCAGCTCATTTACATTTAAAAAAATTCTAGATGTGCCTTCTTATGCTGCACACTTAACAAAGATTTATTTAATTTTTTTCTCTTTTATGACTCTAGACTGGTTATGCATTTGCCTTGCTCAAGAAAAAAGAGCAAGTAATTTTTTTTGAAAATAATACTAATTTTAAATTATTCTACATTAATTTCTGATAGTGGATTGATTGTTATACAAGAGTGCCAATAAATTATCAAAATCAAGCATTACTAGTTGCGGTAAGTGAGTGGTGGGTGACCACTTTGATCAGTCTGCGAGGGGTGAGGATGCACGATATCGATCCTCATTTAACTTTTGTACTGCGAAGTGCTCAACTTTGTATGTAGGTCACAGGGCTGTCAATCAAAATTGTGATGACACATCTGCTGATCATCCTCAGGAATGTTTTCCAGACCATCATCAATAGCCAATTGTGCTCTAGTACGAGTTAAAGTACTACTACTACTTTGCATTAAATTGATGGACATCTGTAGCATTATGAGATAGATTAAGTTAACATTTCAGTGGTCGTACACTATTTGTAGTTCTAAGTAGCTCTACAAAACAGTTTTCAAAAATTTCTTTTTTTAAACATTCAACGTATCAAAAAAATTTATAAATTTATTAACCTGTATCAAAGTAATCAATGTCAACCACACAGCCTTCCTCAACAGGATCTAGATTTCTTGTATAGAGTAGAGTTGATTTTGTGTTTTCATACTGAAATCTGAAAGATATACATCTTATTAGAAAAGAGAAGTAACATACTCAACAGTAATGTAGAAATTTTTTTTATTTTATCAGAATGTGAAACATTAGAAAAACTTTCTGTTTAAATTTTTCAAATGACAATATTGCAAGCAGCAAAAATTGAAAATAAAGTTTTGATACATTATAACTGAAAATAATTATGGCTGAAACTGATAAAACTCCGATTTTTAAAAATTAAGTTATAGTTTTTTTCTCCATATGCTGACAAACAAAATCGAAACTAGAAGTAAACTCTCTAAAACGGAATTAAAAGATTTTTTGTTGGGCTTTGAGTACTTTAATCTTAGTTTTTTTTATTAAATAAAGGTATATATTTAAGACAAATAAAATTCATATTCAAAAATTAATTTTCCAATAATTAATGTTTTGTTGTCAGAATTTTCTGATGTTTTAGAAAATGTATTTTCTGAAGAATGCTGATTTTGAAAAAATTTCTTTACGTTAACAAAAAAAGTTTTTACAGAATTTTTTGAAATTTTGTATCTCGATTTTGAATATTGTTATCAATTTTTGAACTAAAAGTTAAGGTCTAAATGTGAATTATCAAGTTTCTAAGTAAGAATGTTAAGAAACTTTCATTGAAATTTCAATCCATATTATAGTTTCATTTCATTGTTCTTTTGAAATTTTCTCAAGACATGAGTTTAAAACACAGGAACAAAACGTTAATGATCAAGAAAACAAAATATTATGAAATTTATGCATTACAATTTGTTGTAGATATCTTAGTATGGCATGAAAAATTTGTAGTTTTTAAGCTCCAATTTACTAAATAATTTTAAAAAATACTGTATAAATTTTTATACTTTAAATTCATTTAATTCCCCAATCATAAAATTAAAATTTTAATTAACCAGGCAGATATCTTAAATGCTTACAAAGAAGAGAAAACTTTTCCTTCAAGTTCTTAAGCAAAAACTAGTAAAATAGATTTTCCTTAAAATATTTATTATTCTTTAAAATAACAGTAGAAGAAAAATTGATAAATCTGAAAGTCAGTTTAGTTTAAAAATGCTAAAGAACATTGTTTTCTATAAATAATATAATTTAGTAGAAAAACTAAAAAAGATTAAAAAGCTAATTTACATAAGTAGTATTTATAAAAATTTTCCCATTACCTAAAAACATGGATGCTTCCATTATCGGATGCAGCAGCTATTGATTGCATATTTTGGCATAAAGTCATAGAAGATACTGGACTATCTGCAAACATAAACATATATTTGCAATATTAATTATGAATCCAAACTGACAAAATTTCACTGTTAAAGTGTCAGTAAAATGTTTAACAATCAAACATAAAACAGGGTGATTGGCAAACTTCTTAAAAAATTTCTCGACTTTTTTAGACCCTTTTTCCCCATAAACTTTTTTCTCAATATTTTATTAAATGTACAAGTTAGTAAAATAATAAAGTGATAAAATCAAATATACAAATTTAAAGAAAATTGCAATTAACTAAAGATCTGAATTTAAAAAATTGTTTAATTTAACTTTATTTATCACAAAATAAGTGAAAAAATATAACAAATACAAAAGAGAAGTAGACTTTTTTTCTATTATTAATATCTTTTTTTTTGTGTGTGCATTCACTACTATAACTTAATGCAGAAATACTTTTTCTAACTAAATACATACTAATTAAAGAAAGTAATTTGTCCAAATGTGTTTCTCAGAACTCATCCATTTTAAGTAAGGAGCTGTAAAACACACAGATTGCCCACCATTTTATTTATAGAGAATTGGTGTATTGATGTGAAAATGTAAAAAATTATCTGCAAAAGAGGATAAAAAACTGATTTGACTTTTGATTACCTAGCCTGTTGTAAGAGAGTCTTGATCGATTAGCTACATTTCTTCCTTCCATTTTTTCACAATCCCATATCTTGACTGTTCCATCGTTGGAGCAAGTGGCAAAAAGGCAAGTGCCAGTAATTACCTGAATCCTGAAAATAAGTAACCCAATAACATTAAACGATATATTTAAGGATATGAAATATTGTGCTTGTAATTTTTAAAACATATATATCAATACACCTTTACAAGTTTAGAACAATTTTTCCCCTATATTCTAAATCAAGTAGCCCCAAAGATTTCAAACACTATATACCAAATCAAATAAATAATTACCAGTGAGAATGCAGAAATAAATTAAAAGAGAAAAAGCAAAAAAAAAAAAAAAAAAAAAAAAAAAAAAAAAAAAAAAAAAAATTGAAGAAATAAAATGAATAGGGAAAAAAATAACTAATAAGTATTCAATTGTTTTTAAAAAACATGTAGATATGAAAAAAATGTTAAATTTGTTGAAAATAACAGCTGTTAATAGGATTGTAGTTAGAAGGTCTAAGTTAGTGACAACTGATTCTTTAAAATTAGTTCATATTGTTCTTCAATTGCTACAAAAAATAAATAAACTTTGACAAACAATTATGCTGTCAGGTTTAAAATAAAATAATTAGAGAGATGCATTAACAGTAGTTACTAAGTAATTTAAGGTTCTTTTGTCAGCTCCAACTGAATAAACATAATTTAACTTTCTGAAATCATTTCAATGTTAAATATCACATACATAAATTTTACTCTAAAATATAATAGGCAAAATTAAAGACTAAATTAAAAGAACAGTTTTGGCTCTGGTAAAGAAATTACAGCTAAAAAATATCAAACAAGATTTCCTAAGAAAAACTGAAAAGAAATTGGAAAATAAAGTAATCAAGATAAAATGAAAAATTATAAATCTGTGCATTATAAAGGTATGGTTAAATTCTGCATTTTTAATTAAACATGTTCTGGCCGTAAGAACCAAGGTAGTTGTTTATTCATTTGACATTCTAAAGTCATCCAGTAAGATTGTTTTTTAGAGAATATTGTTCACAAATATTACCAAACAAATTTCAACAATAAATTTAAAACAAATCTTACAGAATGATACAAAAACATCAAGTAAATTGATGCTGCTGATATCTTTTTGAATGAAAGTACTGCACAATTAGAAAAGAAAAAGATAAAAAGCAGAAAAGTGGTCTTACTTGTTGACAGAACCTCTATGTTCTTGGAGATGAGCTATAAGTGAACCAGCAGGAATTTTAACACTTTTTTTACTACTCTGTTGAGGCTTTTCATCTTTCAGTTTCACATCACTTGCTTCCCTAGCAATTTCATCACTAATCCACTCCTCTTGTTTCTTGTATATGAGTGCTGCTAACTCTTCCCTGCAGGGGGCACAGTGATCTAGGAAAAAACAAAAAATACCTTAAACTTACCCTCTATACAAGCAATAATAAATTTGTTTCAACATGAACTATTAGTAAGGCTGCAGGTTTGTCGCGGCGCGAATTTCAGCGAAATTGTCATCTTTTTCCCTAAAATCTGCAAATTTCTCAATATGTCTTGACTTGCGCGAAAATTGCTTAAAATGCGATTTTTTAAAAATTTATTATTTTTATTAAACAAAATTTTTATTTTCCTGAATCTTAAATTGAACATGTAAAATTGATTTAATTATTTAGGAGATTATTTATATAAATTATTTAGGAGAGTGGATCAATAGCAAAATGACATGAAAATAGTTCAGAGATAAGAGATAATCACAATCTTGTCAACTAAGGTGGTCTTTCTACACCTAAGGAGAGTAATTACCTTCCTGAAGTCAGTAAAAGTACAAAAGAAATTAGAATCACAAAAGAAGGAAAATATTATAAATCAAATCTTAGACAGAAAAATTGTTATACATGCTATTGCACTGGGCAATGAAATTTCTACTGCCTCTCTACATATCCAGTTAATTTTTCCTAGGCGACTTCTTGTGATTTCTTAAATATGGATCAGTTTCTAGATGAAGGGGGGGACTAGTAGTTACTAGGGACTTGTATCTAGTATTTTGAATGTAGAATGTTTGAGTTTTCACAGCAATTTCTTCTTACAAAGCAACGGTAAAGGAAGCGTTGGTGAAGGAAAATTGATCGAGTTTTGGAAATCAAAGACCGAAAGCTTCAAAAGTGGCAATTCGAAGTTTGTTGGTGCCTAAAAACAGCTTTTGACGCAGAAAGATCGTTTTCTAAGTATAAAAATGTATTAAGGTATGAAAGACGAAGGATAAATGAGAATAATCTGACAATGTACAATACATTGTACCAAAATTCTGTTCATTTGAATAAAAATATTAATATTGCTTGAAATTCAAAGAAATACTTTTGTTGTGTATTTTTAAGCTTTTTTTTATTACTTGCGCAATTTCTGTCTTTTGCATCATTTATGTAATAAATTTTTTTATGTTTAGAATTTGTGTAATTTTCAAAATTTCCCGTGATTTTTCCGCGAATTTGGGGTCTTTTTTTCCGCGACAAACTTGCAGCCCTAACTATTAGGTCAAGAAATAGCATCTAAAATAATAGTCTTAATTGAGACGATATTTCTTCCCTTGAAAGGGAGTTAAATATGAAGCAACGTCTAAAATAAAATACCCGTATGTGAAACAATTTAATTAAACATACATGAGGAATAATCTAGGAAAGAACCTGCATAGAGAAACTTTTGCAAAGGTAAATGAAAGGTGGTCATAGTATAGGAAAAGATTAAATGCTTAACATTATAACGTACAGATTTCAAAAACAGAGATTCTCCCAACTTTATTAACACAGATTTAAAACCTAAAAAGAAAACTCTTACATGATGTTTGAGGAATAAAAAGAAAAGGTTTAGCAAGACTAAACTCATCAATATAAATTCAAATTTTGGTTTATAAATTAAAATAAGTATAAACAGTTATAAATTTATGGTATTAATTTATCCTCTAATGCAAATCTCGTAGAACATCCAAAACTAGGTACATAGATCTGTGGATCTGAACACCGACCTGTTGGTAACAGAAAGTTTCATATAAAAAATAATTTTTTGCATGTCCAGCAGAAAAGAGAAAAATATAAATTTAGTAGAGGACTACAAATATTTAATCTAAGAATTGGAAAAACATAAACAAACTTACTTGGTTTCATGTCTTCAATAATATCTAACTGTAATGGAATGTTTTTATCATCAATAGGATTTATAAATTCCAAACCTTCTTCTGTTACTTTTCCACTGGTGACGAAAGAATTTAATGAAGGATCAGAATTTTGATGTGTTAGTTTTGGCGATGGAGGGCTTTTTACTTCACTAGATCCAAACATGTGCTGCCATTCTTCATTCTGAAACAAAGAAAATTTAATTTTAAAAATATTAAACCAATTTTTATAAATGCCACTACTCAAAACTAAAATTTTATACAGCAGCATAAAAACATAGTAAAATAATGTATAGCAGATAGAGGCTTAAATAACATTCAGTACTTCCAGTAGTTTATTTTGGATTTGAAGACTGCTTTTAGAATTATGTAAACTTGCTAGTATAAATAAGCTAAATATAGAACTTGATTTTTTTTGTAATACAATTAAAGTAACTTTTTTTTTCAATTAGAACTAAAAAAATAGTTTTTAATTTTGAATTAGTTGCTAATGTAGCATTAGAGGTACACAAATGGTCTAGTTGTAATGGTTTGACATCCTTAAGGAGCATTTCGAATTTTCTATTTTTGTTATTAAAGGATTGCTTACAAAGTTTGGATCAACAATTTCCTGGTAGCCTTAGGGTTCGAAAGTTGCAAGCTATGGAATTTGAGGCTCTTGAAGGGTATCAATTTTGTTATTTTCATGTAGTATATGTTAATAAGTGCTGAGTTTTCCCTAGGATTAAAAAGGGTAAGGAGCTTCCTCACAGAAAAGAGCACTTTCGAGTTTTAAAGGGGCATCTCTGAGCATAAATTATTTTCTTAAAATAAATAAATAAATAAACTAAAAAAATGTTTGATCAATAAACCTAATCATTTTTTTTTATATCAAACTTAATAATTTGAATTTTTTTCTTCTATAATTTAAACTGAAAATTATGAAAAAATAAACATATAAAGGTGAATTAAAAAAAAAAAAAAAAGGTATTTATTTAAAAAATAATTTTAGAATTTAAAACCACTTAGAAAATTCATTAATATACCTCCTGAAAAAAAAGAAACTTACAAAAATTAAACCAGTTGAGAATAATCCTAACAAAGTAAATATTTGTAAGAGTAATCAGAATTTAACCCATAAAAGCCGATAATTTTATCAGTATGTAATTATTATTTAAACAGTGACTTTATTTATTTTTTAAAAATGGAACTACTGGCACAAGGGCACACTACATTACCACAATTATGAGCATAGAGAAAAAAGGTGAGAATAATCACCAGTCTACGCATCATGCTTCCCAAATGCACACAGATTTTTATGAAGCAGAAAAAACCAGGGTCATTACTCTTAAATGGATTACAAACCACTATATAATCAGAGAATATAGGATCTGGTCAGACACCCAGCCTTTAGAACAAAGAATCATGCTGCAGCACAAGCTTTGGTAAGTAAAGGCTCTGCCCTCTACACCGACTTGGCAGCAAAATTTTTTGAAAAAAAAAAAAATAACTTGTTTGAAACAAATAATAAAGTTTTTTAAACTGATAAATCTAAATTTTGGTAATAGAGTTTTAAGGAGATGCTGCAGATTGGGCAATCACCTCTAGCCCCATAAGTTCATTTCCTGAATAAGAAATATCTTCTTCATATATATATATGTGAATTCAACTTAATCCATGTATTTTGGTGCACTTTATTTAGTAGTTTCCATGTAGCAGTTAATTATGACTTTATAAAACATACCAAGATTTTTTCAATACTCTGAGTATTTAAATTGAAATTTTCCCCCATTCAGCTACACTAATATTTTTTTTTTTTAAAAGAAAAACAAATTAAACGTTATCTATTTTATGTCACATAAGGTGAAAATTTTTTTTTCAGAGCCCGGCATTAAGAAAGTAAAAAAAAAATAATTGAACAGTTTAAAATTCATTCCCATACCCGCCAACATTAAAGAAATAAAATAACGGAGATTTTACTAACTGTCTCAATTTTAGGTTTATGACTAGTGTTGCTCAACTCCGGAGTCTTGTAATTTTGAACTTTTTTATGGAACTACCCCGCTTTTGAGTTACTTGGGGAGGAAACGTTTACGTTTTATTTTCCCAATTTTTAATAAATGAAATTAAGTTTAATTTTGGAGTTTATTCAATAAGTCCATATTCAATGAACTGCTGATGCTATATTAACTTAAGACACATCTGTTTATGCATTATTTTCCTAATTTTATAATAAATGCTATTAGGTTAATTTTGGAGTTTATTCAATAAGTCCATATTTAATGAACCGCTGATACTAGACTGACTTAAGACAAATCTGTTTACGTTTTGTTTTCCTAATTTTTAATAAATGTTATTAAGTTTAATTTTGGAATTTATTCAATAAGTCCATATTCAATCAACCACTGATGTTACATTTGGTATTGTCAAAACTGAATAGTTAGAGCTATTATTAAAATAGATAATAGCCGAAGTTACATAAATTGTATAATGTTTTTAAACTTATAACAATAAGTGTGTGAATAGAGATGCTATTTTGAAAATCTTCAGTACATACCATAACAGTAGGTGACTCTACAGTGGATTTTGCTTTTCTTGCTGGTTTTCTGCTGGAATAAAATACAGAACTTTTATGTCGTTAGTATAGAAGTAGTTTCTTTAAAAAAATACAAATAAAAGTTAAAGTTTCAGGAAAACATTAATACTTTTGAACAGCTTGCATTGGTTTGTCAAAATGATTTTCAACAAGAACCAAAGGAACAGAATAAGTCTGCGGAGGAAATGGATAACTTGAAAGATCGATTTCACCTTCATTCATATTGCTTGAAGAAACAAGATCACTAAGAACGAAAAGGATTATGAAATAACAGAAAAAATTAATGAAAGAGAGAAAATTTTTTTTCTAATTTCTTTTTCGATTAATGTCAGTCTTACACAATATGCTAGAGAGTTTAATTTATTAAATGAAGTTTCCTAAAAAAAATAGTAACTATTGTAAAGCTAAATTGAAAAGCTAACTATTCCAGTTATAAGTCATAAGAAATGGAAAATTAATAAACATTTTTAATGAATGTCAGTTTCAATATTTGATTAATTATTAAGATACTCTGAAAATAATATGATACACTGATGCTTGATGAACTGATAATATGACACTGCTAATTTTTTAAATCAAATTTCCAAATGCCTTGTAAGAAATTTTTATCTAATAATTTCAAAGCAGAACTTTCATTTTTAAAAACTGTTCACATAAATCTAAATCAGTACTTATGTGTAATTAATAATTAATTTTTAAATTTTTTTTTTTACTTATGGTTATAACAAACTTATTTTTTAAAAAAGAAAATTTTATTTTTGTCTTGGAAAAATGTAATAATACTTTTTTAATCAAATTATAAAAAAGAGATAATTGATTCTTAACACAAAATGTTACAGGACATAGAAATATATTTCAAAACTTAAAGTTCTAGTATCATGCCTAAATATATATATTTTTTTATTTACTTACCTGCATTGCCAAACAACTAAGCAATGCAGTAAATCCATAAAATTCTTATTAATTATTTTAGGTTTGTATAATTTTTAACTCAATGATAAAACGGATCTACTCAATTTAACTCAATTAAAAAACATTTACTGTTGCAAGCATCAAGAGTAAATTTGCTGTTATATAAAGACATTTTGAAACAAATCATTTGTACATATCCATATGATAAAAAACACTTAAACCTTCCACTCTGAGAGAAAGAGAGTAAAAAGGACTCTCACTGGTGATCTTCTTATCACGTGAAATACAACTTGACCAGTGATGTGTTTGGTATGTATTTTGGAGTAGTCTGGGACTTCAATTTTCAGTAACTTTAGAACTACTGAATCTTTTTTAGAGCAGTTAGAAGTGAAATTCGTTACACTTTTAAACGTGTTTGGAATACTATATTAAATCTAACTAGAATTGTGATTACAGGGTTCATAGTCAAATTATTCACCAAAAAATAAGCACCTTTTAAGCACTTTTCAAGCACTCTAATAATATTTTTAAGTACTTTAAAAGAATATCATAATTAGGAAGGGTTGGAAATTTTTGACAATTGACGATTTTATCTGGTTTTAACAGTCATGTCAAAAAAAATTCTTTTGGCATTGTTTTTGACAATTGTCAAAATTTTTGAATCATGTAAATCAAATGGCGTTTTCATAAGTTACAATCTGACGATGCTCCGAAATAGATTGGGGTTGAATTAATTGTGAAAACGTTGAATAACTCAATGTGAACAGTGTCCTTCTGCATAATTCGTAGCAAAAATCAGCATGGTAAAGGAAAAATCTCAATTTGGGAAAGGGAAAATTAAGCACTGTTTAAAAACACCCAATGAAAAAAGCACCTTTAAGGGCTTTTAAAACATGAAAATAAGCACCTTTAAGCACTTTTTAAAAACGGTACACACTCTGGATTGTAAAGCAGTGCTAAAAAGTAGGGAATCAGTAAAATTACTTATTTTTCAACTTCTACTACAAAACTCGTACATTATCATTTATTCTTCTACAATATTCATTTAAGGAATTGGTTGATATCCAGGTTAAAGAATGAATTTCAATGGACTTGATCTCTAGTACCCCCATCAATTGGAAGATCTAATCTAAAGCTAAATCTATCATTGCATCTTCTTGGGAATCTCCTCTGGCATTTGGTTGCAACAATGGTAAGCAACCAAGAGGTACTGCTATTAAGCAAGTCAAATTCAACAGACTGCTTTGTCAGTGCCCTAAATTGACACCTGAAATATCCCAAATTTCACTGGAGAAATAACTTCCCCTATTGCAGAAAAGGTAACATGGCTTACATCTTTTTTCGTACTCAGAATAACTTAAGGAGGATTTATTACAGAATCTTTTATTTGTTATGGATTTTGCATCAGTTTATGGCCTTGAGGATCTGGTTTAGTCTAATGGGTAACCAGTGAGGATTAACAACAACACAATAAAAATAATTTTAGAGCAGATTTAATTTATTTCTTCCTTTTTTAAAAAAAATGTTTTTAGTTCAGATAAGTTAAATTATATTAGATTTGGAGTTATTTCATAAAAAAATACATCTTTTAGAACAACTGCAACAAAATTTGCAACAGCAAATCTAAGATTATGATAAATTCAAGCTAGAACAACAAAGATATCCTTTATCGTAACTGAATATTAAACTCCAACTCGCAGAGTGAGAAATGAGTTCTTATTTCCTGAACATATCAAGCACAGTAAGATGTTATTTTAAAAATTGTTTGTATTGTTTGCAAGTGGGCAATAATATTGGTTATTGTTATTTATTACTGATTACTTATAGCTACATAAAAATCCACAATAAAAATAAAATTGACTAAAATAAAAAATAAAAGCAACATGAATGGAAAAAATCTAATTTGAATTTTCAGTTTCTGTTCACATCTACCTCTAATACCATCAATTAATATGATTTATTTAAGTAGCTGTTATAAAAAGTACTTGAAACAAGCTTTGAAATGTATAAACTATCATTAAAAGAAGAAGAAGAAAAATATGACAATTAATAATGTTTGATATCAATAGCACTAGTTGACCCCAATTATTTCATTAGACTTACTGCTTACTAAATGTTCATAACTATTATCAAATTAAATGTGCTATGTATCAGGAAAATACATTTAATTTTTTACAAAAAAGAATTTGAGGATTTAAGAAAAAAAAGGTTTAATTATGAATAATGGGAATCGACCTCTTCTGGCCTCGCTACATTCCTGGTTGCAGGGAGAGAGCTCCCAGAATATCTAAAAATTTGATAATCATACATGAAAGACTTTTGAATAATGGCTTAAATCCACTTTAAAAAATGTAGTTAGCCTTACATTCATGCTCATGCAAATTATTTCTATCTAATATTAAAATTAGTACACCCTTCAGCTTATTTTTACTACAGTACATATACCATGAATCAGAAAAGACAGTAAAAACAATTATATTTACATCACTTTAAGGCTCTGTAACTCAAAGTTGAAAAAAAAAAGTTAAGTTCCAATATTCAAATAATGATTTCATACACTGATAACCTCAAAAAATAATAAAAGTAATAAAAACCTTCATTATACATAAAAATTGTTATGCTTGGTTAAATATGCAGCCTTACGTAAAAAATGAAAAAAGAGAGAATGTTTCAGCACTGCAATGGAAGAGGATGGCAGACCACTATACTAATTTATTTGTATTATTTATTGTTATATCATTTCTTTTTAAAAATTTTTAAACAATAAATTGATTTCACAGATGACAATGTACTTTTTAAAACTTTACAAGGTAAAACTGCAGAGAGTTAGAAAAATAAATATCAAATTACTTACCCACACTTTTTAAGCTGAACTTTTAGTAAATGATCTTTCATTGCCTAAAAATATATACCCATATAAATGAAAACAAATTAATTTTCAAATATTTAACATGCAATATATATATATATATATATTAAGAGTTGGATTAATCATATTGCTTAGTGTTAAAAAAATGAGGAATGTACCAAAAATAAATAAAAAAGATAAAAAATGTATAGCACAAAAATGTATCGCAAGCTCTATGTATTACACAATTTATTATTAAAATATTTTATGCTTTATTTCTATTCACCATACTGTTTTTTAGAAACTTTATATAATATGATTAGAATAATAATTACAAATTAGTGGTGATAAATTTATTTAATTACTCTCATTTTAAACATAGTTATTTCAAGATTAAAATCTTTGTATGTATAAAAAAGTATACAGTATAGCAATTGTTAAAAAGTCGTACGAAGTTTTATTTTTAAACAGTCAGACAAATAGAAAATTCCATTTAGCTTGCAGTTTATACTACATAGAAAACCAGCTATTTTCAAGTTAATGATTAGGGAAACAGAATAAGAAGAAAAGAAAACATCCTGTCAAATTTTTCCATTTGAATAAGCATTAGGGTTAAAATATTAATTTTTATATACCACTAATAGAAAACAGTGATAAAGAAATTTTCTAATTCTACACAGACCTAAATAAATTATCAAAAATATGTTTTGAAATAAAATACATTTTTACCAATATTTCTTCTTCAACAAGTTCATTCATTCCATCAGATTGCAGGCGATTATAAACCTATAATTTTAATATATCAATAGCTATAAGAACGTATCTATTTACAAAAATATATTGACATAAATACTTTTTATTTTACATTACCATATTAAGATTTGGGTCCAGTTCTCGATAAGCAGGAAGATGACCTGGTCTGGCAACAGATCTTGAAATTTTCCTTTCACACAAACTTTCTAAAAGGTTTCTTAAAGTAGGCAGTCTAATAAGAAAATCAAAAATGCATCTGGGAACAGGATCTTGCAATGCATTCAGTAGCACAAGCTAAAAAATTAAAAGAAATTTATTCAGACTTGTTAATCTATGAAATTCTGTAAAAAAAAAACATTTTGAAGAGAACATTATTTAACAATTAAAAAAAAATTTATGAATGTGATACTGATAAAAATAATAGATATATAACAAAGGTTGAGACATCCTAGTTCCTAAGGCTTTTAAATATAAGCCCCATGACAATACTTTATAACCGTCGTTGAACAGTTGACCCAAATTTTAGTTTACGCCACCAATTCCTAAATATTTCTAATTATCTTAATATCTAATTACATTTTTTTTTATCCTAAATATTTCTATTAAAGTTTTTTTCCTTATACCCCAAACCAATAATGCAGCTAAGTTTTGATTATTTTTCAATAATGATGAAACTTAATTCTATAGAAAAAATAGTATTAATGATTTTTTCCCAAAAAAATGTTGCTGTTCAGCCGATTCCTTTTGGCTGAATATTCGGTATCGGCCAAATTGCTATGCATTACAGTCCTAATTTTAACATCTTTCTTTAATCTTAAAATGTGATAATTTTCATAATAGAAAAAAACCTGTTTTAATCTGTTAGTTTAATCTGTCTGTAAAAAACCTAATTTAATCTGTTAGTTTTAATTAATAGCATCTCAGAAAGTTTTTTCGAAACACAAAAGCAATTTTGCACTAGCAAATGACAAAATAAAAACAACCATGTATTGATATCATATCATGATTGAGTTACAAAAACAGATTAACGAAGTTAAAAGAATGCAGTTTTTTCTTTAAGTAAATATGGTTAGCAAAAGCACATTATTATTCAACATTTATTGTTACAGTAAAAGTTTTTGGCTGCGGACTAAATTTTCCGAAATTTTTTAGAATGAAAGTTAAAAACTTTACAGTAATGTGTTTCTAACACTCACAAGAAGGTTGGCACATTTTGTAGAAACATAATGAATAAACTTTTCTTTTGTAAAAAATATTTCTTTTAAGCTGTTAAGATAAAGATTTTAACTGTAGTTGTAACAGTACTTTTAACAGAAAGAAAGCATATTTGTTTATTAATTTATAACTTGCTTATATGAATCATTTAAGAATTTCATAGTGTTATAAACAAATTTGTAATCAAATTTATCTTCATAATGGTTAAAAAAAATTTGAAAACAAATATAATGAAAGAAAATTTAAATATTTCAATTTAATTTTAAAGATCAATGGTTTTATGGCAGTTATAAGGGATTAAGGAAGTTTCTATCCAAAATAATAATATTAATTTTCTTGAAAAAATTTTTTTTTTGGTAAAAAAGAAAACTAATGGTATGATGGGGGTTATAAACAAAATAATAAAGTTTCTGCCCCCCCCAAAAAAAAAAACAATCTTCATTTTTATGCATTAAATTTCCTTTTTTATTTTTTATAAAAAAGGAGACCCTGATCAGGGAATAATGAAGTGTCAGTCCAAAATATCAATATTCATTTGCATGCATTAAATTAAATTTCCTGTTTTATTTTTTTTTAAATTTTTTTCGTAAAAAAGGAAACTAATGGCATGATTGTGGTTATGAAGGAATAATGAAGTTTCTGTCCAAACCAAAAAATCTTCCTTCTCATGCATTAAATTGCCATTATTTATTATTATTATTTCTTTTGGTAAAAAAGATGGAAGGAAATCAAAGAATTTAAAATTACCCTGTTTCTTTTTCTTTTAATTTATTTAATGATTTTAATTTATAGCTTTTATTTTAGCTGTTTTTATGCATATCAATAAAAAAAAAGAATATAATAATTCGTCTTAATTATGCAAAAAAAAAACTTCTTTTATATGTTAACTTAATACATCCCTGACTTAAATAATGTCATAATGAAGTAAATGCATGTTTAAAACTAGTAAATACATTTTATATCATAACCAAAAAATAAGCAGTACGTACAAATAACAAGTTTGCTAATTATCGATATAAAGTGCAATATCGGCATATAATATGAAATATGTGCAATAACAAACTTATTCTGAAATCATCTGATTTATGTAAGCATATTTACACAGTTATAAACTTGAACAAAAAAAGAAAATAAGCATATAAAAATATTTCTACAATAAAACATTAAAAAAAAATTTTTTTGATGAGTTACCAATATTTTAATCTTTTATATTTATTTTTTTCGCAGAAATTAAAAATTTTTTAATTTCTGCCCCTCAGTAAAGCAAGTATGATATAGACAATAAAGAATAAAAATTAAGTAATACAACTAAACATTAAAAATAACACAATAAAAATAAAGAAGTAACCTTCTCAATTTTTACCTCTTTGTCAACTTGAATGACAGAATGTCTTAGAAAAGGTTGAAGTAAAGGAATCAGCCTGCACTGAACATCAGCTAAGTTTAAAGATTTGGCAACAACACAAACAAAGCCAACAGCAGACTGTTTAATCCATAAATTCTATAGTGAAAAAAAATCATAAAATAAAACTATCACTAATTACAATATATTAATACATAGGTTTCCAATATTCTTTTGACTCACCTCACAATTTGCAAGACATATTTTTTATCAATGACCCATAAAAAAAATTTGACAAAAATTTATAAACGAATTTAAATAAAACTTTTTTTACATTCAACATGGTACACTTTTAAACATATTTACTTAATTTATTAAAAATTTCTAGTGACTAATGATTTTATATTTGAACTTTTATAGCACTTATTAAAGAAACTAGCCTTTTTGCTAAAAAGAAATATATACAACAAATTTCTAAGCTGAGTGTAAAATAAATTAATTTTTTTTTTATAAATCCCAAACAACTGTTACATTATGTTCATGACATATTAATAAAAATTATTAAAATACGTTGTTAAAAATTCTTAAAAAATAGTTTGAATTTCGAAAAGAAAAAAAAATGTCTGCTTAAATAAAAAAGTTTGTGTAAAAAAAGTTTGGTTGGTAATTTTTTCAATATAAGCTTATGTTTGCTGAATTAATGAGTACTTTAATTACATGTATTGGTATGTCGTGATTTTTCAATGCAAAATAAACTATTAGTTCTTAAATGTACTCTATATTTAAAGTATTTCTTTTTCTTCTGCATATTATTTTTACACATCCTCTATAAAAATCAACAACACACAAGAAATATTCAATGCCCACTAAGAAGCAACAAACAGTCATGCTGGGAACCTATGAATTAACACATTAAAAATAAATAACAGCTACAAAAGATAATATATCAATAATGAGCATTAAGATAATTAATATAAGTATATAACAATAACCAAGCACTTAGAAGAATTAAAATATCAATTAGTCTATAATTTATGACAAAGCTGATTCAGTAAAGAAATTACACACCTTATTTATTAAATGGTACTTTTTTATTTTAGGAAAAATAAAAGAACCTATTACCACAGTACCTATGACCAATATTAATTAGGCATGAATAATTGTTTGGTAATTTTTCGTCGCCTGCCTTTCAAAAGTAATAAATACCCTCAAAATACTTGTCAGTGTACTAACAAAAATTTTATGATAAAATATATCGTTTGTCAGTAATTTTTTACAAGAAAAACAATAATAAGGAGAATAGTTGACATTAGATCTTGTAGAATTCCTATTAAATTGACTAATTATAATAAAAAATCTAGTTCTGATGAAAGCTAAATTGCTATATATGCACATGATATTAAAAAACAATTTTTAAAAGAACATTTTAAAAATAGAATTTTTTAAACTGTAATATGATTTATATCTATATATAGATAGAAAATTGATCATAATATTTGTATTATGTAAACAGCCTTTCTTCCAGCTGTAAAAGGGTTTGAAACATTTCATATGTTAAAAAATTAAACACACATAGAGAAAATATAATCAGCATTTCTTTGTTGTTATTTTTAAGGTTATCTTTTAAGTCTCCATTCATGATTTTAATTAGTAATATATCAACATTAGTCTTTAAAATTAGTATATCTTGCATACTTTTCATTTTTTCACTTTTATGTTATTTTTTATAAATAAAACCTTTTTGTTTACAAATTAACTTTGATTAATGGTTCATAAACTACTAGTGGGTTAAATCACAGTTCTGGCTTTTAAGTAATTATTAAGCTTATAGCTTTCAAAATTTCTTTTTTTTCTTTTTTTTTTTTACAATTTATAATTGAAAATAGGGCATTGCAAGAAAACTTTAAGCAATTTTGCATGGAGTCATTTGTTTCAGAAATAATTGAAGGGCTAATTTGAATAAATAAAATTTCGTACAACTAAAACAGAGACTAAATTTCAATAAAGCAACTATAAATATAGAATACTACAAATAATATTTACAGGATGAATTAATAGAGGGATGGCTTCAGTAACGAGATCATACAACATTTGCTTCTGAAGAAGTCCCAATTCAGTTAACTCAGATAAAGCTGCAAGGGCTTTACGTATCACAAAGTCTTCTGAATCAGTTAAACCCTAAAAGAACAGAAAAGAAATAGTATCCCAATACGATAATACAATATTTTGAGGGAATAAAACAAAACCTTTGATGGAAACATTACCTGTTGCAATAAAGGTTTCAATATTGGACAACATTGCCATCCAACATAAGAAGCCACTCCCACAATTGCATCAAAAAAAGCCCCACGCAAATGTCGGTCTTCCTAAAAATATACATTTTAAATTATAAGCAGTGGCTAGAACTATCGATTGCTGCTTTTTTAAAAAAATGCAGTGTAGTTTAGTAGTGTAATACAAACTAGTTTATAACGTTTTCTGATAATTGACTTTAATATTAGTTTAGTAATGATTCAAACATAACTAATTTTTTGAATCAGATTGATGTAAATCTTATGCAAGTTCAACAGTTCTTACTTTGTAACTCTCAGAGTACATTACTACTTAAAAAAAAGTTTTAGAGACATAACAAAAATCACAAATATATAATACTTCTTTTTCTTGAAATAAATATTCTCTGCCAAGAAAGATAGAACAAGGCATAAGAAATTGAAAGAAAAAAGAATTGTAAAAATGGTTTAGAATAATAAATAAGTTAACTAAACAAGGGTTAGATATTTTTTTAACAACTTCTTATGACAAAATAAGCCTGCTATTGTTTTAAATGATTTTTTAGGAACATTTTCATTCAATTTTCATTTTTTTTTAAAATTTTGAGCATGAATGTAAATTGTGTACCCCCAGCAAAGTTTGTCTCCTAAAAGTAATGGCTACATTTCAAAAATAATATTATAATGTCTTTCTGTAAAATACATGTTACAAGAGCATGAAATTGTTAGTTAAATCATTTATCCTCATGATCACAAGACTATCCTTAGTAGCAGATGAATCATGGGTTAAAATGTGTGTGCTCTTGGTTTATCTTGAAAAGTTGTTGTAGTAGTGCAAATGTAGATTCTTTTTCAACTATGCAATGTAGATGTGATATGTTTCACTGAAAATATTTTCTATCAAGACAAATTTGTCTCACTACATAACTCAGAAGTTTGTTTGTCGTCTGAGTTGTGATAAAATACATGCCTCAAATTTAATAATTATAGGCTGTTCATTGATGGCGATAAAACAAGATAATAGCTTTATAGAAACAAACTTTATAGAAGTATAAATAATAGGCTCTTATGAGTATTAACCTTTCTAAAAAATTAAGTACTAATTAACTAACTGAATTCGAAAAAACATTAACTCATAATAATTAAGTTTAATTTACAAAAATAGATGAAAAAAAAAGGCTTAACAGTTACCTTATCATTTAGGTAAGTAATCATGTGAGAAAGCAAAACATCATTTCCTGTAAAGAAAAAAAAATATATAAATAGTCAAAGTTAAAAAAAAAAACTTCTAAAATTCCTGGTGTATATTTCTTCAAAAGAACAAAATTAATCAACAAGATTTGTAACACAATTTTTCAATACCCTATTCAACCAGCATCAATATTATGTCCAAATGCACTAATAATCAAAGTAATTAGTTATTTTCTTGACAATATGTAAGATATACATAAGCGTAATAACAATTTTTGTTAATTCATTTTCAGCATTATAATTTTTACAAAATTAACTAATAACCAAGACAAAATTAAAATAGACATAGTAAAGTACTTAGGTGGAAATGAACTAAGTTAAATGTTGTTTGACTTTCATAAAATTTAAAATAAAAATCAGTGAATAGATTTAGTGTAGAAAAAATACTGAATCAAATATTTTTGTAGGTGAAGTCTAAAGCCAGACATTTTGATTAAATAAATAACTTACTCCTGATTAATTAGCCTATTCTGAAAATGTTTTACAATTTAACAAGTAGAAGGATTTAGTGTAGAAAAAATACTAATTTAAATTTATTGTTTTTAAATTCATTGGATTTTTATAGTACATTTTCCAGTTTTATATAAACATTTCTTCTTCTCAATTGAATCTGGCTAAGAAAGTGAACTTGTAGTTTCTTTTTTCGACTCTGTCACGATATCCATGGTAATTTTATTTACTGACTGTTGATTTAATATTTCACTAAGTAGTAAGTATATTAAAAGAAATATAGGTAGGTATCAATATTCGCAGCAAAATTCAGCAATTTGAAATGCAAGAACATATTAAAATTTAGCCTTACTGTCAGCTTTCCCCTTTGTACCCTTTCTACACTCTGTTACCTACCATTTATTAAACTTTATTTCTCTGTATAATTTAACAGAAAGCAATTTTAATAAGCTTTTTACAGTATAAATTTGACATGAGTTGAAACTGTTTACCATTTTAGGTAACCTATGTTTTTATTTAAACACTTTTGATCATTAGTAACAGAGAGAAACATAATACAAATATAAGTTAATGTTTTATTTTTTGTTCCAAATAAAAAAGTGCACTGCTGTTTTAAGTTTTATAAACAAAAAAAACATTCTAACTGCAGCTGAAATCTTTATCAGTAGTAATTTGAATATCTATTTATTTAAAAAAAAAAAATTCAAAATGCATCTTTATTTTGAAAATGAACTGTATAGCAGGATATTTATTTACTATTTTGTGGACTATCCACAGAATTCACTTAACTATCAATGCAACATCGTTCAATTTATGACATAACACAAATTTATTGAAAAAAATTTATTAAAATTAAATTAAATATGTTAGATTTTTTAACTATTATTTTACACATTAAAAAGTAGTCATAATAACCTTTTCGCCTTCCAAAAAAGACACAAAGTCTTTGTATTCCTCTTTCCAATAGAGTCTGTTTAACAGCATTAACTGGATCACTGAGTAATGTTGTCACACTTTGCTGTACCAACTCTTGCAAAGCTTGCAGTTCATGATCATAAGAAACCTTTAAAACAATAAATACAAACTATAATAACTACAGAAAATAAACCAAATCTCCATTGGATTGTAATACAATTCCAATACCGAATGTTTTTTTGATATACAAGAATTTCAACTAGAATTGATTTATATATTTTATCTCTCATTTAGTCATCATTTGAGACAATACACTTTTCTTTTATATTTCAATGCTAGCAGTAAAAAAATAATGTTTAATAGTGTAGTTAAAAATGATTTTTTTCATCATATTAAGAAATTTAAAAAATATCATGATAAGTCACAGATATGGACGAGGACATTTACTACAGTAATCTGACAGGTCGTTGGCACATTTATGTTTGGTAGAAAACATAGAAATTTTTATAAGCATAATTTTTTTTCTAAAAAATTGAGCAAAGACTTTCTAATAAGTGACAATAAATTTGAACTGCATAATCAACACCAAGTTTGTCTATAACAACAAAACTAAACAATATTGTTGGAGATTAGATATTATCAGGATTATTTAATTTGGGATCTAATACATAAATCTTTAAAAACCCTTATTTGTTTTGTTATTCTTATAACAAATTAAAGCCGATTAAACCCTAGAGTTTTTAGAAATTTAGAGTTGTTAATGTTTTATTTAGGTTTGAATTAAATTCTTTTATTTTTCTCAATAAATTTTTAAATTTATTAACTTTAATGCCAAACAGCAAGTTGTTGAATTTTAAATGCTTGATATAATAAATTATTTTCTTACTTTGTTATGGTGATTTCTTTCTTCATCACTCAGGAAAGTGCTGTCTGGATCAGGTTCCATATCAGAATGAGTCATTTCTAAAAACCTAATTATGCAAAGAAAAAAAATTAAGAGGTGCTATTCTTAAAATTATTCAGGTGAAAATAACAAATTCAATATTTTATATACAGTATATTTTCTTTCATTCAAAGGTTTCAAATCAGAGATATCTAATGGACCCTTAAATATTACTCGCAACCAATATATATATATATATATATGCTACTGCAAATGACCGAAATTGGTGGTTGCTGATTTCCACTGGTGAATGTTGATAATCACATAGTCGTTTTGGTAAATATCCAAAATATATACTAGGTCTAGTTAAGCGCCACTGCCTGGTATGACCTACATCACTGTTTTTTAAGGTTCAGTGCCACTGCCCCGTATACCCTACACCAGGGTGGCGAACCAATGGCACGTGACACAATGTTTTGGGCACACCACCGATCACAAAGTTCACTATGAAGCATATTAACAGTTATATTAAAATTCATAAATAATTAATAAAAAACAATTAATGTCAAAAAAGCAATTAATAACCATAAAAAACAAGCTAACAATAAATGACTAGCAAAAAAAATTATAAATAAACAGCTCTGCTTAAACTAATATCTTGTAACCCTAATATAAGTTATTTGTCATCTAATCTACAACAACAGAAGTCACGCTGATATTACTTTAAGTTGAATTACGCTTATAACTGAGACATTGTAAAATGTTTTTTTTTTCGTTGTAAATAAAGAATTTTGAGTTGACAGTGTTTAGTATTATAATTTATCCAATAACCACGAAGTCAAAACCATTTGTCGGCATGTCTATGACCTCATTAAACAATTTTTTTAAGGTTCGCCACCCCTGCCCTACACTGATAATTTTTTAAAGTTAACTGCCACTCCCCAGTATGCATTTAACCTATACTTTAAAAACTCATGTTTCTCCTAATCTACAGTTAGCAAATTTAAAAATATTGAATAAATATAATAATATTAACAAATAAATTAATATCAAATCTGATAAAACAAATATTTTGTACATTCAACAAAGCGACTACTCTGGTGAAAGTCGATCGACATTCTCTTGGTTTCGGCCATTCATAGTAACATATACATTACGTAGATTGTGAACAAAATTCAAGGTGAGATGAAAATGTAGTTGTGCTAATAGTAGTACAGAAAAATAACATTATAAAATGTAATTTTATTAAGAGCTACGAAGCCTTGAGAAACATAAACTTCACACCTCTATGAAAGAAAAATAGTTAACCTTGACAACAAAATATATAACTTTTCCAAATCTTAATCAGGCCTTTATAAATTATTTTACTGTTTTTTTAATATCATTTCATCTCATGATGCATTAATAAATAATGAATTAATTATAGATTAAGTTATACCAGTCTTGAGAAAAAGATAACTGGTTAGAAGAATAAACTATTTTTTATAGATTACTCATTTTTGGATAATGATATTTAATACTTTATAGTTTTTGCTATCGAATTATTTCTTATATTATATATGTATGACAGTCTGGTCAAGCAAGAACAAAAAAAAAAGCAGGCATACATGCAACAATCAAAACAGTTTTTATTTTGTAATCATAGCAAGAAACCAAATCATACAAAATCAAGCGCTTTTTAAAATGGTAAGGAAAATCTTTCAAATTTAACACGATGATTTCTCAAGTCACAAGCAAAAAGAGAATTACTATTTCTTAAAATTCATTTGAAAAATAGATTGAGGGATTTCTTCGGTTCTCATGTTAGTAAAAAAAATAAAAACTTAATTCTAGCATTCCTTAATTTAAATTTAGAATAAAAATGCCAAATACAAACAATGTTTTATTTTGAAGAATAAATTAAGAGAATTTAGATAAAGAATAGGTATATATTATTGGCTTCAATTTAAAAAACACAAAGTTTAGAAATAAAATCCTAGAAAAATAATTAAATATATGCACTACAAATGATACATAATTTAATACAGTAGTTTCATCATATTCAAGGTGGATTCGAAAAATGTCCATAAATTTCCAGGAATTCAGGCTTCTCATTGGTTTGCAATAATATTTTATTACTTGAATGTAACTAATCTCTTTTTCTTATCATAATAAAACACAGTATATAAGCTAACTTGCATGTAAAACATAGTATGTATTTGTACCATAAATTTTACTTAATAAATTTTTCCATATTAACAGAAAAACAATTTTAAGCATTAAATTGACCTATATATATATANATATTATAAATTCTTTTGTTAGACATACCTCAAAGCTGTTTCAGCTAATGAAGCAATATTTTCAGCATAGGCCATGCGTACTATCACAGCTTCGTCATGAGCAATATGAGACTAAAAAAAACATAATATTGTAGATAAATGTAATAAATTGCAATGCTTTTATTGGAAATAAAAATAGTAGTTAATTATAGGGACAACTATATTTAAAACAAATTTATACTAAGAAAGACTGCCATATAAAATACAGGGGTGATTGCATTCTGGGTTTTCCATATCATCTTTCCAAGTCTAATTGCAGAATTCTTTGTATCTCAAGACCACTGATTATTTCTGTGAATAAAAAACTTACAACCTGACGAAATTTTCATAGAGTTCCACAGTCTAAAATTTACGTTTCGAAACTTTTGCTTAATTCAGTAATGAGACATGTACATACACACGAATTTTTCACCAATTTGATTGTTCTGATTTAGCAGATTTTTACCATTTTGATAATTTGAAACCGTGAAAGCATTCGCTAATACTGTGATTTATATTCACATGATTTTAATATCAAACATTGATTTTCCTATTTTCCTGATATAAAAGCGACAGATTAAAATTTGTAACTTTCACACGATTTAAAGATCATGCATCACAACACTCATATTCACATGATTTAAAATTACAATATTGTGATTTGTTTTCACGCATTTTTAAAATCCATTATCGCAATTCATTTTTACGCACTTTCAAATTCCAGTTTCCCAACTCATCTTAATGTGAGTTTGAAAAACAATATTGTCATTCATATTCACGGGAGTTTAAAATTCAATGTTTCAATTCATATTTTTGTGATTTTAAAATCCAATGTCACGTATTGTATTCCTGGGAATTTAAAATCCAACACTACGATTCGTAATCCTGCAAATTTGAAATCCAATATTGCGTATTTTCGTGTTTTTAAAAGTCCAATATCACAATTCTTGTCTTGACTAAATTTTTTAATTTAGTTTTGTAAAGGTATATCATATTTTTTATTATTTGGTAATTTTAACGATATTCTTCACGGTTAGGTAAATTATTAGAAATCTAAACATTTTCTTAAACATTTATGGTACATAAACTGATATCCTGACACTGAGTTTCTGTACATAAAATTTACAGGGTTTTTTCAAACTGTGTCACAATTATCCATGAAATTACTAACTTTCACTTTTTAACCCTAAAGTTGAGGGGTATATTATGGTTGCTTTTTCACAGAGTACATAAGTTTTTTTTTTTTTAGTGGGGACATTGTTATAAGGATTCATACAAGTAAAAGCTAATGGGTGATTATTATCAACTTATACAAGTTGGCAACAAATATTCCGCGAAAGATATCTTCCTGATTTTCACAGGTTAACTTTTTTTAAACACCCTCTTATCACATCTAAAGACACAAAGTTTATTATTTATTTTCTAGTTCTGCCTTATTCCTAAACTAAAGTCCCCCCCCCCCCGTGGCAAAATTCCATCATAAAACAATTTTATCTAATACAAAGGTTCAAAACTTTACCTGGAAGGACTCAGTTATATAGTATTAACGAGACATAAAGAACAACCTATTATTTTTGAATTGATTTATAAAATATTGGTCCGTATAAGTATCTAAAATTGTCTTGTTAATATTGAAGACAAATAATTTTGTCAGTGCAACATTTTTCAATGAATACTAAATTAAATATTTTCCAAAATTAATATGATTTTTATAGATTTAATTAGAATCAATGCATCAATTAGGTAATAAAAAAGATTTGAGAAGATGCCTATTTAATAAGATAAATTTATCAAAAAGTAGGCATCAGAAAATTTCTCAGAGAAAAATTTATACCAATCTTTGATATTATTCCCAACAAGCAAAAATATTTAGTTTTCGTTTGAAGTAATTAATAATAGAAATTTTTAAATACTTCAAATCTGAACAAAGCCATTTTCTCGGAGTTTTAAGAAATAAAACAGAATTCCCTGAAAATTCTATAACTTGATTCATTACAATATAAAACTAACATTTTTTCTATAATAAATTAACATGAACTCCTTTTTAGAACTAAAACTATAAAATAGTATAGAATAAAAATAACTGATTGTAGAAGCTAAAAAGAATTAATGATTAAGCCATAAGTAACAAAATTAGACATAAATTTAAAAAGAAAAAAAAGAATTAAAATGCAAGCACACTATTATAATCAATGTTGGAAACTAAGAACAACCAAAATTTAAAATTTTAAGTACGGAGGTCATAAATATTTAATAAATATTAAAGAAATATACAATACATAAATTTAAAAAATCATGACTCACTAAAAATCAGGTTTTAAGCCGGACATACTTAATAACTTGTTTTTGAATGGGATATAATAAAAACATCAACAAATGTAATAATATATTTTAAATTTGATTGAAACATGTATTTTGAACAAAATACAATAAAAAGAAAATAGTTAAAAAGAGTAAAACGAATTACATAAAATACTTACTAAATTAGGCAGAATATATTCAGGGAAAACATTTCCATCACTAAAAATAAAATTAAGTTCAATTTATAGTTTTAAATTAGTTAACAGTAAAAAAGCTAAATAGTTGAGATATATTCATTAAAATACCTTCTAGGAATACTTTTAATAAGAGAAAGGCATTCAGTGAGAGTTTGAATAACTGCAACACGGACTTTAGGGTATTTGTCTTTAGCCAAGTACACCTAAAAATATCAATTTACAATCACAATAGCTTCATTATACACCTTTAAAATCAACAACAGAAAACTTTTATTATTTCTGAAATGAAAGAAAAATTGCCTTCAAAAATGAAATTTTAGATCTAAAGTGCTGTGGTAAAGAGAAACTTAATATATAAAAAGTAAAGACAGAGAAAGAATTTTTCATCTTTATTTTAAATAATTATTCTATTCAAACTTTACATACAGAAAAGAACAACATTTAAGAAGTATTTTTGGATAGCTTGGTCGAAAAATTTTGAAAATTTAGCTCTTGTGCAAAGAAATATGAGAAGAAGGATGCAAGCAGACAGGGGAAATTCATGAGACAGAGACAATACTAGGTCTAGCACATAGCCAATGCCAACAATAGGCCTAAGTTATATAAAAATAATAAAAGTTATGGAAATTTTTTTAAAAAGAAATTCAAATTACAAATTTAATACAGTCGAACCTGTTTATCTCGAATCTCACGGGAAAGTCGAAAAATTTGAGATAAAGAGGTTTCGAGTTATACAGGTACTGTAAAAAAATTAAATTAATTTTTTAAATTCTATTAAAAGTGCTTTGTTTTTAGTAGAAAAATATAGACATTTCATTAAATTAATTATACCACATACATCTTGTGATATCGTACTGTCCAAACAATAATTTCTCTGAGTCTTAGACTCCTACAAAAGAATGTCTTTACTTCACAGCCACTTCGTGCGAACTCTTACACATCTTTATTCACTACCTCTACACTTGATCACCGGGCCATCACAACACGGAGGCATAACATATTTATTTACATAACAGTTTTTTAACATTCATTCAACTCTGAAAATAATTTTCCCAGGATTTTTGACTAATAACCTTATTTGTTTCGATTTTCCTTTTGAGGTTAGAAAGATCGCAAATTCTTCATAGATCGCTTTCTATAACTCACTTTAAAACTCTTAATTATCCTTTGATCCATAGGTTGCAATTTTGAGGTCAAAATGAATTTCTATTCTTAGCTTTCTCATCTATGTTGAAAAGCTAACCCCTGGTGGTCACTACTGATTCACCCTTCACTTACTGCCAGAATCATTGTATTCCTTTCTAGTTAATGAAGTGCAGGGATAGTGATTGAAATTCTAAGTAATACCACCAACCTGTTCATCCCTACTTCCTGTGGATTAACGAAATTCATCTCTGTGATAAAGCTCAAGTGATAAGGAAAGTTTTGACATTTGTGCTCTATCATTGAAAATTCGAGAAACGGAGGTTTTGAAAAAAAAATTCGACATAAACATGCAAAATATATTGATTTTAGGCAGTAAATGTAGGGATTTTTAAAAATTTCGAGATATAGAGGTTTTCGAGATAAACAGGTTCAACTGTATATAAAAACATTAATAATTTTTATAATATAATAAACATATTTTAAATACCAAATATGGGAGAAGTCTGTCTAATATTACATCTGGACTTAAGTAACATGCCATGATTTTCAGGACATCTAAGGCATTAAGTTTGGCAGAGCAATGTTTTAAGGCCCTCAATAAAGAAGTCAACAGAGAAACAACAATGACAAGGCCTTCACTAATTACATTTTCCTTATTGTTAGATGACTCATTAACACTTAGTTGCTTTTCATATGTTGTTATAACATCAATTATGTTGTAAATATCCTTTTTCAATCTGAAAAAAAAGAAGAAAAAAAATCATTTTCATAATTCCTCATTATTAAATTAATCTTTGGGGATGGGTTTCAGAATTAACCCATTTGGAAATACAATAATAGAGCCGCATAAATATTTACTAACATAAATTAGTTATTACAAAGTTTTTGAGTTCTTTAGTTAAATTTAAAATATTTAATTTATATATATATATATATATATATACAGTGCAAAGTCCCATATCCAGACATTCATTTACCGGAAGTGTCATTTTTCCGGACACTTTTTAATAATCAAAATAAACAGAAAACTTTTTCAATTATCAAATTTGTTTTGCATTTGCGACTTGTTGGAAAAAAAGTATGCAGGGATGAGAATCTCCCACTTTCCGCTTCATTTTGATTCTAACTTGACTTCGATTTTTGTTAGATTTAAATCCAATTTCCACTACAATATGAAGAAAAAAAAATGTATACCAAAGAAACAAAATCTAGAAACAGAAAAACAAGTTTAACAATTTTTTTTAACTGTTTGCATGTATTCATCTTCTATCATCTTGCTATTTGAATATTGCAACATAAACATTTTCCTTGTTAAAATTTACATACAATTCTGAAAATCATGTAAATTTTTTTTGTTTTTTTGTTATTTGAGATGATTATACAAAAGTAAGATTTAAGGCAATTTTCCACAAAAATTAGTACCAGAAAATATACATCTTGCAAACTAGTACTGCAAAATAAGAACGTATTTTGAGAGAGCTCCTATTACTTCAAAATAGTATTTTAAAGTAAAAAGAAGAAAATGATTGTTAAAATAAAAAGGGTGCTATTAAAGTACACAGTTCCATTCTTATTTCTTAAATTTGTTTTTCAAATTGTTGAACAGCAATATTTTTATGTATTATAAAAAATATTTGTATTTATTAAAATTGTTTTTTCAATTAGCTTTTTATTGTAAGTTATATTAAAGTTAATAAAATAATATACATTTTCTATAAAAAAAATGGCTGCAGAGTTTGATTGCATCAAATTTATGAGCAGTAAACATTATGAAAAAAAAAAAGATCTGGAGTAAATTTGCAAATGATGGTAGTTCAGTTTTCATTTTCCTATTTAAAAATATTTTTTGAAACAGGCTTTATTTTTAAGCAATACACAGTATCTTACATTAAAAAAAATTAAACATCTGATTTAAATTTATGCATGTAAAAGTTCAGAAAAACATACCTGGGTAGAATTTTATAAATACTTCAAAAAATAAAAGAAATACATACTCAATTTAAATTAAAACAAAATAAATCAAAATTTTACAACATTTCAGCTAAACTACAATTGTATTTATTTATGTAACATAAATAAATACATAATAATTTATAAATGAAAAAACAAATTATAGATACATTTCATGTGACATAAACTGTGTATGTATATATAAAAAATTTAATGTTAAAATTGTTTTTATTAATTAATTTATTCATAAGTTTTTATAATAAGTTAATAAAATAATATACATTTTCTAAGAAAAAATGGCAACAGAGTTTAATTGCATTACATAAGGAAACAGTCAACATTGAAAAAAAAAGGACATCTTTCATAAAATTGCATATGATGGAAGTTGAGTTTTCATTTTCTTATTTTAAAATATTTTTTGCAACAGGTTTTATTTTTAAATCACAAGCTGTATCCTATATTAAAAAAAAATTTAACTTCTGTTTTCATTTCAAGTCAGGAAACATTTACCTCAATAGAATTTTAAAAGCACTTCAACGAATACGAGAAAAAATGCATACTAAATTTAAATTAAAACAAAATAAATCACATTTTTGCAACATTTCAGCTAAACTGTACTCATACTTATAAATTTTTTCATCAGGTGAACGAGGATAAGTTGAAAATATCTTGAAATAGTCATTAAGAAAGGAATAGAAATACTCAGGAAATGCCTTATCTCGTTGTAAGTCTAAATACTCTGCTGCACTCAAGCGAGCAGATGGATCTTTTTGCATCATACTTTGCACAAGTTTCTGAAAAATAATAAATAAGATATTAGACACATATTTATTTATCACCAAAAAATTCCATTATTCATAAAACTACAACACAGGGTATTGCTTAATCACGGACCTCAATGAATAGTTTTAGACACCCTTCCAAAAAGGAAATAAAAAAACATACTGCTTTAATATGAATAAGCATTTATGTGACGAAAAGATAAATACTATGAGATCATTTGACAAATCACTACCGAGGAAGAATGGTTAAAAACATCAAAACATGCCTGAGTGCCAGGTGAAACTTCAAGCTGCTTCAAGTAATGACATTTACAATTAAACAGATTTTGATAATCATACAAGGTTCACCAGGAGGATGCAAGGAGGTGCATTTGCACCCCCTGGCTTTTTTTAAACAAATAAAGAGATTGAGAAAAACAATTTTGTTATAAAATTTTTTTTATTAAAAACATTTTTATTCAAAAACAAATAATTAAGTAATTATTGATACATAACAATTAAAAAATTGTTTAATCAAACAAGAATTGTAATCGTCTTGTTTGCTGTCCAAATATGTATATAACTTTTTCAATGAATTCTGAGTCATCTTTGATTTTTTTCTTGCGCACATTGAGCATGCACAAACTACTTAATTGTAGACCGATTCCATGTTTTGATGCGTCGCATTGTACTTAAAGTACGTTCAATAGTGCACGTAGTAGCTGGAAGAGTTAGGCCAATTGTGATTGCCTCCGCTACAGCTGGATAAAACTGTATGGCTTCAATTACTAAATCGATGTATTCGAGGGATTCATAAGAATTTTCTCTATTCTACCACATTTTGTACCACTTTGTAGCTTCAGTGATGAAATTCGGTAAGGGCAGATCTTTATGCATAGTATATATATATCTTCTAAAACTCAATAAATATCAACACAACACAACAATCTTAAGCATGCACAAACCCGTTAGTATACGAAACTACTGTTTGTAGTTATTTGTGTTTCAAAGTCAGTAGCTATGCCAGCTCCATCAATACAGTTTCGCGTGGCAAAATTTGCAAGAACAAGAAATTCGTGCTTTTTTTAAAAATATCTTGTTAACAATGAAGAAATGTATCTTGAAAAAAATGAATAGATGAAAGTATATGTAATAACAGAATATTTGTAATTTTTTTTTTGGGGGGGGGGGGGTTAGTTTGTTAGAGGGTTGCAACCCCTTTTACATTATTCTGTCGGCGCCCTTGTAATCATAAAACCACCTTTGTCAATAGTATTTTGTCACTATTTGATACTCCATTTGTTTTTTCTTGCTTAACATTAGTTTTTTCCTTCAAATACATATTTCTTTTGACTTCATCTCTATTAACCCATTGTTAACGAGTTCTCTCATCTTTCCCTCCTCAAAAGTTGTAGATTCATGAAGAGATAACCCTCAATGCACTTGCATTAGTGATTTCAATTTATGAAATTCAGGGTAACATAAAATATTGCAAGAGTAATATAAGAGTAAAATATTGCATAATAAGAGTAAAATATTGCAATATTGTAACATAAAATATTGTACATCGTGTCTGATGAAGGAAGATATATTTTTTCAAGCAATATCTTCTTGTGTTTAGTAATGGTATAATTCAAGAAGTCTAAATAGAAATAATCTGAGTTTCAACTAGTTTTTATCTAAGTATCTCATGCCTGCATTTCATTAACATTAAAGAATAGGCTAATTTAATTTTCATATAAAATCCAAAATAAATAAATAAATAATAAATAGAATAAATAAACATAAAAAAAATATGAATAAAGCAGGTTCTTACAATATACAAAAAAGAAGAACAAAGCAAAATATATCTTTGCAAAACAGATGAAAGAGGAAGAGCTTTCCTATTTTTCTGATGAAGGAAGATATATTCTTTCAAACGATGTATATTTGTATTTAGAAATGGTATAATTTAAGAAGTCTATATAGAAATAATCTGTGTATTTCTAGTTTCTATCTAAGCATCTCATGTCTGTGTTTCACAAACATTTAAGAATGGGCAAATTAATTTTCATATAAATTACAAAAAAAAAGAAGCCTAATTTAAGTTTTACACCTCATAATTTTAAATATTTAACTAGTTCTAAAAGTAGCCTGCTAATAGTAACATTTTAGCAACTTCATTCAAATAAATACAATATCCAAAAATATTTATTTTCTTTAGTAAATAAATACCAGTTTAGAGGTGTATAAAATTTATATAATTAGAATAAAAATGAGTAAACACAATCATAATTACCTTCATATTAGTGTCTTCAATTTTCTCAAGAACTTTAGATGGTTCATATTCTCCTATCCTATATCGTAACAGTTGAGAAAAATCAAAAGGAGCAGAACCTTCAGTAAAGAGTTCTGTTAATGCACACCTGAAAATAAAATAAATTTAAATTACCACACATTTAAAAACAGAATTTTTACTCAACGATAGTATTCCATTTAAACTAGAAATTTTTATACAAGACTTATAAAATTTCATGAGGTGAATCGCTACAATGTGTAAATTAAAAACATGCATACCCTAAAGAAAAAATGTCCATTGCCCCAGTCAAATCACCAGTTTTTATTTCATCAGCGTGAATGATGAGAGATGGAGAAGGAGGAGCTATTGAACTTCCACTGGAAGAACTTACGGTTGAAGCCATGCTATACACACTCGATGAACTTATGGTTTTAATGAATCTCTCAGGAGCAACATAGCAAGTTCTTCGTCTTGAGGTATCAAAGAAGTACGAGAAATCAGCAGGGTTGTCCTATGAGATTACCATATATTACATGCAATAACAATATTGAAAATAATATAAAATACTGAAATTGTTTTTATTAGGTGAAGAAATTTTATTTAAAAAATAAATAAATAAAAAGGCGAAAGTATTTTCTAAAGTCATATTTGGTTATTGCAAGCCCTTGCTTAACAAAATCCTTAACTGAGTATAAAATATTGATTTATAATTATTACTTGACATGACAGTCTGGTTCATTAAAATCTCTTCGAAACCTGGCTGCTGTTTAGTAATTCAGTTATAGACATTGTGTGCCTCACTTTACCGCAACTGCACTTTGCTGATGAGCCAGAGAACTTTCAAGGCAATGACTTTCGTCATTTCTTTTAATTGAATTCTAATTCGCTATTTATTATTGTTTCTGCATTCTTTTTTGTGTTTATTCTTGCCTTGCCATTTGAAATATTTAAAAAAATGCTATCAAATGAAAAAATTAATTTTAAAAATAATGAAATTTTAACAAACAAATATGATTTCTAGTTATATTTGCTGATATACTTATCATGTATAATAATTTACAGTTATATAGTTTACAATTAGTTATATAATAATATAGTCCTTAATTTACAGTTGCAGTAATATTAATAGATATAAAATACTGGTTTCATTTTAATAAAATGAAAAAATTTATTATAAAAAGTAAAGAGATTTTAACAAACAAATGTAATGTTGACAGTTGTGTTTGTTCATTGAAAGTCATTACATAACACGATCCGAGACATATAGGAGAAAATTATAAGGAATGTTTAGTTTAATTTTTTTTTAAAAAATATGCTGTTAAAAAAAATATTACTTAGATTCAAATAATGCAAGGTCATTGCAAAGATCACCCACAATTTATTATTATCTCTTGTTGTGCTAATAGTCCCAAGGCACAACATTTTGTTACTCTTACTGCTTTTTCTTTTTGTAATTTTTGAACAACTTGAACTAAATGATTTTTATTTCAAACTTTTTCATAAGTAAAGAATCTTTCACGAACAGTCAGTTACTTTCTTTCAAACAGTTAAAAAATAAACAATTTAAAGTCTAGGCCAATAATAAAAAAATAGTGGGCCATGTTTAAGGGGCCACTGAATTGATTTAACAATATTTTAAAATATACTATCCTATGGAAAATATAAGAGATTTATATAATTACATCAAAGCATTTTTACAAAATTTAAGATTAAAATTTTAAAACGAGTTCACTGTGAATCAAGCTTAAAACCTTGAACAGGCAACCACACACTAAATTAAACTTGAAAATAGAAATGAAAAAATATTTAAGTTATAAATTTTTCTATATTACCTCAGCAAGATTTGTGGGCTTAAAACTTGCAAAATCTGTAAGAAGTAGCCAATTCCAACTGCTCACCATAACATTTTCAAGTTTAATATCACCATGATACACCTTAAATTAATAAAATTAGGTTAAAGAATTACACATGTTGAACAAAAATAAACTAAGATTAAAATTCAATATGAGTGAAGGAATATTTACACCAAGTTTGTGGCATTCACTGAGACACTGTAAGAGTTGAAATGCAATCCAGCGTTTTTCAATACTGTTCAAAAAAGGTCTTGTACTGATTCTATCATATAAATTATCTTTGACATACTGACGGATTAAAATACCAGCTTTATCAGTTATCTATAAATAAATATAAGAAATTTCAAATATGAGAATGTATTTTTATGATTCAAATAGGTATACCAAGAATAAATAAAATTTAAACATACCATAGCTTTTTGAAAAGGCAAGGCATTTGGCACATTTTTTAGGAGCTTTCTAATTTCTAAAATGAATAGAAAAATTAAATTAGATGATTGAGAATTTTGAAATTAGTATTATACTATTTGAAACATTGAAATGTCTGCACACATTAATCAAAAAGGGAGAGAGAGAGAGAGAGGCAGAAGAGAGAGATTAATTACCATCTAAGCGATCTCTGTGTGCTTTTAAAGGCAAGGAAGGATCCCTAATGGCAAATACTTTGACAACAATCAATCCTTCCCTAAACAAAGACAAATTATTAATTATTTTATTAAAAAGTGATTATATCTCATAGTAATTAAAAACTTATGAAAATGTACTTACTTGTGTTTTGCTCTAGCAACTTTAAAAAATCTCGTACTTCCCAAACTAAGAAGAAAAAAAAAGAATAAAATCTGTTTGAATTTGTGCCATTTACTATCTGTGCAGAAATATACATCAAAACTGAGCAAGCAAAACAGATAAAAAAAATTACCAACATATACTTGATATTAAAATTCTTATTTTTAGTTTATTAAAATTTTTAAGCTACTCCTATAATTAGAATGCAGTACAAAATGTTAAGGTATATTTATAAAATCATAATTCAAATAATTGGCAAAAGCAAAAAATAAATAAATAAAATAAATAAAAATGATAAGAAAAATAAGAATGACAGAAGAACTGTTTCTTTCAGAGCAGTCAAATAACTGAAGTAAAGCAAAAAAAATTTTTTTGACTAAAAACAGGGCCCGTGCAAAGAATTTTTTGAACAAATTCTGTAGTTTTTATATGATTACAGTAATTTCCATTAGATATGTTACATAACGAATTAGAATTATATTAAACCCAGATAATGTAAGTGTAAGCAACAAGAGAAATTAAGTAAGCATGAGACTGTGCAGAATATATGCTTTCTTGTGACAATAATTTATCAATAATGTGACAACGTGTTGCTTCAGATTTATCCCTCTAATACTACTCTAGTAAGAAATTATCAAAAATGAACCCCAACCCATTTCTATTTCTTTCACATTTAATCCTCATTTATCCTTCCCAACAGCAAAATGACTCTAGGTTTTAATTTGCATTTTATAAAATAATTTATAGTAAATTTGTATTTTGATTTGAAGTTTTTCAGGGAGAAAAATCAATCAAAAAAAATTTTAAGTTTTGCCCTTGGCGAGGAATTTTGAGAATTGGAAAATACTTTTGATATTTGGATGGTTTACTGGCTAATAATTTGAAGTCCTTAGCATGGGCCCTGTATAAAGAAAATGAAATATTTCCTCATAAACTGTGAAGGCATTGAGAAAGATTGTTTACTACAACTGTAATACAACTATGCTCATAATTTTCAATGTGTTTCTTAAGCCACTTTCTCTTTTATACAGTCAAGTGCAAAAGACCTGCCGTTTTACCTGAAAAAAATCTATTTTGAATGTAGTTAGAATTAATAAACTTAAAAAATGAGACAGTATTAAATTGAAGAAACAATGCACAAATATAAGCCAAAATTGTTTCCCTTCATTACAAAAGCCAAATCAATGGTAATATTATCTTTAGTTACTATTATTACCATTTTTGATTTTGGTAATTTAGTGAAGTATAAAAGAAAATAAATAAAATAAATTAAATTAAATTAAATTTTTTTTTAATAAACTTAGATTAATTAATAAATTTGATGAAATTATTTGCAAAGTAAAATACTCTCACAACAATCCATTGTGAGGTTAAAATCATGGAGGATAAAGCTTCAGTATGGCTATATTGTCAGCATTTTGCAAAAGTCACCTTTACTCCCCACATTCTTTTGAAACTGAATCAGCTTCAAGCTGCCATTGGGAAATAATGACAGCTTGAAAGGCAGTACAATGACAATGACAGATCAATGCCTTAACTAAGGCATTGTAGTTTAAATCAAGTTTTGGGCCTTTCTTTAATGTAAGCTTATGATGAACTGAAATAAAGTTTTTTTTTTTTTTGAAAAAATATCAACTGTATTATTTGCATTCCTTGTTATTTTTGTTAAATAATCAACACAAGGGAGCCACTCCAAAAAATGTTCACATTGAACTTTTTCAACTAACTAATAAGATCTAGCATTGTTTAGCAGAACTCTTAGAAATTAATAGCTCACTGACTGCAAAATGCACCATTCCATAAGAATGACCGGCCCACATATTATATCAATGACTCGTTCATATTTTTTTTTTTGAAGAAAATATTCGTTTTCCTTATTTTATTAGTTTATTTTTACAGCAAGCTAAGGAAATGTAACAATTAACTTAGTATATAATTTTATAATAATCACTGAATAAGCACAGCATTATATTTTTTCCTTGGAACTATTCATATCTATGCTTATTTTTCACTTCATCATCATTAATTTTTATCTCAGCTCTATAAGTTTCATTTAAAAAAATTCAATCCTAATTTAACTTTCCAAAGCATTTTGTAAAATCAGGAGGGGAATACAGCAATAACTATGAAAATGAATTTTTTATTTATTTATTTTTACCCGAAAATATTTGTTAGATTTTTTAAAAAAAATGGAAGTTTTTTAAAAAAAAATTTATTTAAAAATCAAATTGAAAATAGATATCAATTAGAGGACAAAATTTAGTCACTGACTTTTTCAGTTCTGAGGACTGAAGAGTGGCACAAATGAATCAACAGAATTGCTAAGCAAATATATCTGTGAATTACCACACATTTTTAAAAAAATGCATTTTAAGTCCTAAATAATTGAAACTTTTGAAGGAATTAGATGCCAGGTAATCATGGCAAGCGTAATTGTGAGCCCAAGTCAAAATTTTGGAAAATTTCTTGAGTAAAAAAAAAAGAAGTTTAAATCGAAAAATTTGAAAAGAATTTAAACAAGGTTTTTTCCTTTTTCTCAATATTTCTTAATTGACTTAAAATATATTTAAAATTTTACACATACCTATACCATTTACAAATACAGATGTCGACCTGGAGAAGTAATTAAAATTTACAAATACGTCTTTTTTTCTTGAGTTTATGATTATAATAACTATCTACTGATAAAAAATGAATATTAATCTTGAATATAAACTTATAAAGTATCTTCTGGCTCTCCCTTACAAATAAAATAAACTGTGTTTTTAAGTTCCACCTTTGAAAATTTGATTTCTGGAAACTTTTGTGATCAATGATTTTTTGAAACGTCTGAACCTTCGATCTCCGGAAACTTCTGGATCACGGTTAGCGAAAAATCTGGATTTTTTCCAGAGCACAATCAGCCCCTTCATGGGATCTGACAAGGAGCAAGGAGAACCAGTAAAGATGGGGCTCTACCTTTTAAAGCAACATAAAAAGATAAATAACTTAAACTGGTAAATATAAAACTAAATATAACAAAAAACAAGATATTACTTTAAATCAAAGCTGCATTCTGGAAGATCACTGAAATAGTATTCCACAGGAAAAATCTGTGAGGGAGCAATGCCAGTCAGTTGGTTTCCCATGGTTCAGCTCTACAATAACTAAAAATTGGATGAGGGGAAACATTACTGATGACTAATTAAAAATATAAGACTTAAAAAATGTATTGATTTACAATTTTTGAAACCTTACATTTCATTCGATGCAATAAACTAAAAATAATTCATGAACATGAGAGAAAATTATAAGGGGGGCATTCTTTGCAGATCTGTTTCCGAAATTGAAACAGTTAACTGATTACGAAAACAGATAATGGTAATCATTATTTAGTTTAGGTACATATTAAAATTTTTTTTTTCATTATTATAATTCACTATAAACCTAAAAAAATTTTTTTTGACATTTGATAACAATTTAATCTTAGTCCTAAAATTCATTATTCTATTTTAATTTTGATATTTAATTGTAAAAATCTGTTAAAAATGTGGTACAAAAGAAGATTTTTTTAAATTTAAACTCTTGAGGTAATAAATAATTCTTAACAATAAATATAACAGAACCATTTGTCTTGTAGCATTTAGTTTAGACACATAAATGATACCAAGTAGATGATGATTATTGATATTACCATGTCGTGGGAGACGTTTCATGTATTACTCTTGACATCGGTANCATGAGAGAAAATTATAAGGGGGGCATTCTTTGCAGATCTGTTTCCGAAATTGAAACAGTTAACTGATTACGAAAACAGATAATGGTAATCATTATTTAGTTTAGGTACATATTAAAATTTTTTTTTCTTCATTATTATAATTCACTATAAACCTAAAAAAAAAAAAATTGATTTGAGATTTGATAACAATTTAATTTCAGTCCTAAAATTCATAATTCTATTTTAATTTCGATATTTAATTGTAAAAATCTGTTTAAAATGTGGTACAAAGGAAGCATTTTTTTAAATTTAAACTCTTGAGGTAATAAATAATTCTTAACAAAAGCAATAAATGTAACAGAACCATTTGTCTTGCAGCATTTATTATGAAAGTTGCTTAAACACATAAATGATACAAAGTAGATGATGATTATTGATATTATCATATTGTGGGAGACGTTTCATGCATTACTCTTGACAATCGGTAATGTGTCACTATTGCCCCCCTCCCAGATTCCTTCTAATTGAAACATTATTAACACCTCATAAGTAAATGTACATTTTATTGAATTTACATATACAGTTACATATAAATATTTCAAAATAACAAATTAGAGATTAGGTATCCGAGATATTTATGTGTTACTTGCTAATTCATTAAAGAAAGTTATAACAGGCAAAAGTTATTAAAAACTGTGTTAATTTTAATTATCATTTAATTAACGCTGTTTGAATCCTTTTAAGGTTAAGAAAAAAAAGGTTATTCAAAGAGAAATTATTTGTAAAAAAAATTTTAAAATGCAACTTGACAAACTTAATTTGTTTAAAAAGGAAAATGGGTGCATATCGCGATGAAAATTATTAATTTCATACCTAACAAATTTAAAGACTGGCAATATTTTTCTAGTCACAGTTTAAACTAACAATGAATTTAAGTTTTGATTAAATTATTTTTATATTCAAATTGGAGAAGTATTATAAAAATGCATTACGACTTAAGGCAAACATCTCTGTAAAATTTCATTGTCACTCAAGTTCAATGAAAAAATATAAAAAATTATCAGCGGATGCCATAACCATTAATATATACTGAAAAGTGCAAATATATGAAAAATTGCTGGGACTGATTGAATCCTGTACTAGATTGGAACTTACTTGAAACAATAATGTACTTTCCATGCCAAATTCAAAAGAATAATCGAATAATCACAAAAGATGACTTTAAGTTCAACTGAACAATTAAAAACAATGATTTTTAAACAAAGTAAATTTTAATCCTACAAAACTTAAGTTTTTATTCTAGTTAAAAATAAATAAAAGCTAATTTGGATTTTAATTTAAACAATATTAAATTTTGACAATTTATTTAAATAGTTTTGATATTAAATATAACGTAATAGTATTTTTATAATCACAGTGCATGAATATACACATATAACTTTTAAATTCTTGCTTATTTTATAAAGAAATGAACTAACACTAGATATAAGTACATTATTGTTTCAAGTATGAAATCACGAACAGTAATTTCAAAAAACACTTTGGAAGTGCAAATACTAAATTTCTCTTAGCATTGGAATATGTAAAATTAAAACGATACGTAATATTGATCGAAGACAAAAAAAAAAGCGGTTTGAAACAGATTCATTGGTTTCTGTACGCTTCATATATAACATAAAAGTTAGAAGATAATATTCCAGAAAATTTTCTATACCTAATTATACTTCAAATGCTGTGATTTCCTTGATTTTTATTTCATATTAAATTTAGATTTTAAAAGTTACACAAATTCCACTTAATCATTACATTAAATTCAAGAACAATCCAAGCAAGCCTAGTTTCGAAATGACAATTAAACTTATCTTGAATAGCAACAGATTACGAAAAAATTATCAACTAACTTAAAAAAATAATTAGGAAGCGATTTATTTGATTGAAGACATTAATTACTTAAGGAAAGACTTAAATATCAGAGTCAAATTAAAAAGTTGCTCAGTTTCAAGCTTTATTTACAAATAAATCATCTGTTTTGGGCTTTGTCATTTGTTTATTATTAACGCTTCCAGCTCTCTATTTCTGGTTGATTCAAGAGTTAGAATGCGAGGATTTCAGGAAATTGGTCGAAATCGGCCTTGTCTTATTTTATTACATCATAAGTCACCTTTCGCTATCTGTTTCTATCCGTTTTGCATAGCACACATTTTTTTTTCTTGGAAAAAGTTCATGATCAGGAGGAAACATGATCAGTTTTTTCTTTTCGCAGTTAGAATTCGAATGTTTATCTTCATTTTGAATTTCATTAGCTTTGCATTGCCTGATTTTTGTTATAATTTTTTGTTTTGTGTATGATTTTTTTTAATCTGAATAGTTTTTTTTAAAACTTTTTTTATCCACGCTAGTCCTACACGAAATTGGTTTATCGTAAACAAGTCATAAATTTGATTGCTTAATCAATAGATAGTTATTTTAAAAACCATCTACCGAGAGTGGAAAGAAATTAAAAAATAATTAATTCACGTTAGCAACGATCTATAGGGAGCGCTGTTATTTGAGACGAATGACTGCTGGCAGTAATTCGTCTCACGATCATCAGTTGCACTGGAGACTATGCAAAGAGTATACACAGGCACATAATGTTATATAATTTAATCTTGAAAAAAAAAGTTTTTTGACCACAATTTTGATCAAGAAATTTAAAGTTTCGATAAAAAATCATTATTTATAAACTAAAAAACGTAAAATAAAAAATGCTTATGATTAAGAAAAAAAAAAACGATCCTGAAAATTCGTTATTTAGAAATAAAGAGTTTTCATAGTTTTTTTTTTTTCAGTCTTCTCAATCAGACGTAGATTACCATTCCGTTGAGAACTATCATCAAATTAGAAAACAAATTATTTGCAAGTAAATTTTTTATTACAAAAATCATAACACTCATCATTTGCCTTATAAATCCGGAGAAATACAAAATCAAATGTTCTAAGTTTGTAAGAAATTGTATTTTCAAATAATACATAGATTATCCCTTAACTTTAAGATGACAAACCACACAATAAAATTTAATAATTATATAATCTCGATATGAATTTCAATCATTCAAAATTAAAAAAATACTTACCAAAAAATAATTAAAATGCACATTAATAATCAACACAAATGATGCCATTTCAAGTAATTCGGATGATTCTTCACTGTTGTTCTCCGAATTATACAGATACAGAAATGTATAGTATTCTATAAAAAAAAGAATATTCTCTAACTATTACTGTTCTGCACGTTCTAAAATAGCATTTATTCATAGGAATGTTGTAAGCAATGTGGACGTAAATAATTTCATTTTAATTTTCATGAATTAAAGACAAAAAAAAAATGGATTTTACCTTAATTCGCATATCTTGAACAGAATGCGATCACGAAAACGGAAATCACTGGTTCAAGTTTGTTAGAAGAAGAATTATTGAGAAATCGTTCTTCAAATGTTGGGCCCGTTCTGTTTCCGAATGATTTACAAATGTTCTCGGTCGCTTCCTCAAGTTCTTCTGCCTTTTCCATAAGGGAATTTTGCTTTTTATTTGCAGCTGGGAAAAAATGCGTCCTACGTAGGACGCATTTTTTCATCATTGTAGGACGCATCAGAATCATTGGTAGAGTATACTCTACCAATGATTCTGATAGACTTAATAAATAAAACTCTGATAAACTTAATAAATATAAGCCTGAGAATATCATCCCCGCTAGAGGGCGTATTCAAGCTTTGCGATCGCGAATTATATTTAGGAATACAGACTTTGGAGGACATAAATAAATGCGAAATAATTTTATTTGTTAACTATTGGCAATCCAAATGGGCTACAGGTGTCGTAGAGTAGAACTTTCTACCTTTCACCATTATAATGATGAAAGGTAGGTAGTTCTATAGCCAGTGGAGAGTCATAGGAGAAGGAAATACATTAGTTTCTGTCTTGATTTTCAAATAGATTAAAAACTTTTAAGTTCGAAAACTATATGGAATAGAAAACTACAATGAACGCAGCTCTGAAAGAAAGTGTAGTGGAAGTTAAAAAAAAAAATTTTTTTGACAGTTAAATATGAAAAATATTAAGAAAGGAGGAAATATCGTAGTGCATTCCTATATCCTAGGAATATTCCTAGGATATATAGAGGAGGAAATATCCTATATAACTAAGAAGAGAGAAGGGGAGGGGAGGATAAAGACATATGCCGGTGCCATATGGCACCGGTCTTCTCCCCAGATGGTCTTCCTCCCAGATAACTTTTGAAATCAACGAGAGAGGGAGAGAGAAACAGAGAGAGAAAGAGAGAGAGAGAGATTCCTTACATCAATTGCTAAATAGATTTTAATTATTTGATGATATTACTGATGACTCTAAAAGAAAATTCGATATTGCACTCATTTTACGAGAAAATATATTACTTGAGCATATATTCTCAACTTCATTAAATTCGAACCAATTTGTTGGGAAACAATTCCACTCTGAAGACCCGAATATGATCGACATACAGGGATTATTTAATAATTTAGAAAAAAAAATGTTCATAGAATATTAATAGTTTAAGTTCATATTTAGGAAGAACATTCAGCTGTATAACAAATTTAATTTATGTTAAGGAATTTGATAATGCTTTTACTCAAATCATTAGCTTCGTAGCAAGCAGAATATAGATTGAAATTTATAGATTTATGAAATGTTTTAAAGACTATAAAGTTAGCGAGAGCTGAACTGAGGTGTAGATTGCAGGTTCATACCCTAAATTCACAGAAGTGTGCCAAAGCTTATAATCAAAAAGCCAGCCAAGCAGGTGATTTCAGAAACTACAAAATAGGACATACATTTATGTTATTCAAAAATTCAAAGCGAGCAATAATTATTATTTACTTCAAAAAATACTTTTAAGATGCTCATTTTATTTTAAAACTCATTCTTTCAATTTTATCAATTCTTTCACTTTTATAATCCATCTTGCATATAAACAACCAGCTGGTGACGAGGTTATTGGTCAAGTTTCTGTGTATCAGTGATCCTTTACTTGAGTTCCAAGCAAAGAATATAGAAATGAGATGAAGTCCAGCTTGAAGAAGACGTAATTAACGCTGGGAGCTGCTGCACGGTTCGTCTGGACATGTCTGGAAAACATAAAATGATCTATAGCCTGTTGCAATATATATATATATAACTTACAAGGTGAGCAAGATCCAACGCATGCCCAAAAGAAGCAAAGTGACTGTTAGAATGTACGTCACCTGACAACAGGTTGTTGGCTAACTCTACATGTATGATTGGGTACGCTGCCACTCGTATGCCATTTTATTATTTCTTTCTAAGACAAAATGTGGTAACAGATTTAATCAACATGATATAAATGCATTCTCAAAGGAATATCTTTATTAAGAGTACAGTAGCGTTTATCATGAGTAAGAATGCAGAGCAATAATAAATATAAAGGGAATTTTTCTTCTCCTCCCCAACTCCAGTAGTGGTTAGGAGGAGGGGAGCGTGAAAATCTGTTACAAGAATTTTGTTGTCAAGCTGTTGTACCCGTAAATGTTGTTTTTTCCATCAATAACCACACTAATTCATGGGGGACTGGTTTACATTATGCCTACGGAAGCTAACCTTCTTTCCCTATGTATATTCTTCGTTGCAAGTACATAACTTACGGGTTTCTGAGATCAGAAGAACAAAAAAGTGACTTAAAAAAAAAGGATTTTGATATGTAACAGTGCTTTAAAGACAATAACATGTATATAAATATAAAAATAAATAAATAAATAACGATACAGATCCAAATGATATAAAAAGGTCATTTCAAAATTAAAACTACTTTCAAAATTAAAACTTCTTTAAAAATTATTTCAAGAATCAGACGATATTTGATAATATTAATAATTTATTTTTTTAAAAATTAAAATGCAGACGATATCTTAGCAATAAATTTGTTTCTAGTAAATTATTTTTTAGAGGTGTCTTATTTAGATTTTTTTACCTTTAATAGAACATACACATTTTGTCAAATAAGAATATTACTATTATTCCTTAACATGCCCTTATTAGGTTTAGAACTGCATCAAGGAAACAGAATAACAGTTTCAATAAGCTCTTTAATTTGTTATACGTTACTTGGCAGAAGACGAACATTTCGTCGATTGCTTTACAGCAAATATGAAATAGCACAACTTGAATGCGAATTTGAAGATCGTTGTAAATCATGTTGGTAAGTAAAAGTTATAATTTTTAAAAAAGCTATTTGTTCGATGTTCAAATTAATTTTAAATTTATAAAGATAAAAGAAATCATTAAGAATTATTTTAGTAGAAATAGTTGACATAATTCAACTAATTTAAAAGTGAGCGTTTGTTCTATGCTTTAGTTATGCGTGTGCAGTTGTCCAATCAATGTTTAATTAAATTATTAATTCACCTTGAGTTTACTTAATATAAATAGATAAATTATTTAGTGTCTTGAATTCATGTGAAATTAAATATATTCGATAGTACAAATTTGATTACATACGCAAAAATGTCAAAATTCGTATAAAAATAAGATATTTTTAATTATAAAAATTGCCGTATTATATCGAATATTCCTTTTTATAAGAGGATATTTAATCGATAGTAAAATTTAATCTGAGGATTAAATTAATTAAAATTTGTTCTAAGCTTTAACTACACGTATGTACAAGTATAATTATTGAAAGTTGAATTAATGTCGTACTCATTTAATCAATAATGTCTAATTCATTCAATCTAATTGAACATTAATTCATTAGTTTGTTTGTGCCATGTGTTCAAGCAAAGTTAAGTCAATATGATGACATAAATTTGAAGACGCAACAAATAAAAATGTCGATATTTGTTAATTAAAATATTTTTTATTAAAATATTTGTGATTAAAATATTTGTAATTAAAATACTTGTAATTAAAATATTTGTAATTAAAATATTTATAATTAAAAATTTCTATTTAGAATAAAAATAAATAAATAAATAGCCTTATTATGCAGAATCGGAATATATTTAAAAATAAATAAAATTTATATTACATATAATGAGACTATTAATTAATATTACTTATT